AGGCCCAGGGGAAGCCATGGGGCCGGGTGAGGTAGGCCCAGGGGAAGCCATGGGGCTGGGTGAGGTAGGCCCAGGGGAAGCCATGGGGCTGGGTGAGGTAGGCCCAGGGGAAGAAGCCATGGGGCCGGTTGAGGTAGGCCCAGGGGAAGCCATGGGGCTGGGTGAGGTAGGCCCAGGGGAAGCCATGGGGCTGGGTGAGGTAGGCCCAGGGGAAGCCATGCGGCCGAGTGAGGTAGGCCCAGGGGAAGAAGCCGTGGGGCCGGGTGAGGTAGGCCCAGGGGAAGAAGCCATGGGGCTGGGTGAGGTAGGCCCAGGGGCAGCCATGGGGCCGGGTGAGGTAGGCCCAGGGGAAGAAGCCATGGGGCCGGGTGAGGTAGGCCCAGGGGAAGAAGCCATGGGGCCCAGTGAGGTAGGCCCAGGGGAAGAAGCCATGGGGCTGGGTGAGGTAGGCCCAGGGGAAGCCATGGGGCCGGGTGAGGTAGGCCCAGGGGAAGCCATGGGGCCCGGTGAGGTAGGCCGGGCCCTGGCCAGAAGGGAGGGGAAGGCCCCTGCAGGATGGAAGGGTGGAGGAGCACTGAGAGGCATCGAGCAGCCACCCCATCCAAGGAGAGACAGAGAGAGTGCTGGTGCCTGTGCTTGAGCCACCTTGAAATTTAATAGTGGCCGGCCAAGAAGGAGAAGCGGGGGGCGGAAAGAAGGTGCCCGGCTGGGAGTTCTGGACAGACAGAGCCTCAGATTTTTAACCCTTTCCTTGGATGATGGAAACCTTGCAAATGCTAATCCTCCTGGAGCTGAATGAGAACAGAGATAGAGATGAGATAAGAGGAAATGGGCCACGAGAGAAATAGAGAAGAGCTCAGGTGGAAGAGATGAGGGAGTGGCTTTTGCTGGACTCTTTGTGTGTAGCCATGGACAGAGCCATGTTCCTTGTGATACAGGGACTGCATTCTAGGGGGAGGCAATGCCTCAGGACCAAGAGGGTTCGGTGTGGGTACCCCTTGGCCCCAGGGGGTGAAAAATATGGGGGACAGGTGTCCCAAAGTTGAGACTTTGCCTTTTTGGAGTGAGACGAAGCATCCTTAAAAGTCGACCCTAGCAGCAGCTCTGGTCTGTGTTCAGTGGTGAGAGCGCTGGACATGAAAGGAAGAAGAAGAGGTCACCATTGGCACAAGAAGGACTCCTTCTCCTCTTGATGAACTGAGGATTGAGTATTCTGAAGGGTGGTGCCAGACTGAGAGTCGATGATTTGGGGGATGTATTGTATTGGGAATTTGGTGGGGAGGAGGAGGAGATGTATTTGTGAAGTTTTCATTTTCCTTGTGTGTTTCTTTTTTTTTTTTCCTTTCCCTTGTAGTTTAGTTAATAATTTTTTCTTTCCTAAGTGGGAGCCTGCTTTGCTTATTCCTGGCCACATCTCACAGCAGGAACCAGGGAGAGGGAATCCTCATGGGGGCACTGGCATTGTGCAGTGTCAAACCATGACACCAGTACAGGGATTTTTATACATAAAACAACCAATCAGCTAAAACCACAAATCTAAACCATTCACAATCTGAACTCGATTCTAATGTACAAAAGTGATGGGGAAATAGTTTTAGTTCTTATCTAAATTAGTTTTATCTATTTACACATATAGCTTTATCTACACATATAGCTTTATCTATTTACATTAATAATTCTGTCTAGAGAAGCAAGCAAGGTTCTGCTCTGGTTTTGTTATGTCTGGGATTAAGTTTAAACTGAGTTTTAAACTAGTCTTTAGGGCCTTTACTAGTTAATCTCTTAAGGCACTTAAGAACATTACTACTAAGTGAAGTAAGTAGCAAGTTCAAGAAACTTTACTACTAGTTTCTTAGGGCACTTGAGATATATTTCTACTTACTTAAAACTATATCTTACACTTCTATTGACTTAAAATTTGAACTTAGCTTTCTACTTTTAAGTGGCTTAATAGATCCTAATTTCTCTAAAGGCTTTAATTCAGCCCCTGCATCCATTTCTCTGTCAGAGGAGCCCAGGGATGTTTGTATTCCAGCACATTTCCAGGCATCCACCTCTTTCATGGCCCTGGAGAAGCATTTGAAGGTTTCTCTGAATCATTTGAAGGTTTCTCTGAGTCATTTGAAGCTTTCTCTGGGCTCTGCTCACTGAGAGCCCCCAATGTTTGGAGTTTCCTTTCCCTGAGCTCCTCTTTGGGCGTGTGCTGGTGTTTCTGGGTCGGTAATTTTGCCCCAGCCCCTCTGTATTCCTCATTATCTGTTCCCAGCTGTGCTCAGCATCCTCTGTGCCTCTCTGACATTCTTTTATCTCCTTTGCAAGTTGGGCTCTGAGCTCTTATCACCCAACTTCAGGGGGGACTGAAAATTTCCCCTTCTCCCTGCTGCGTGCCAGAGCACAGGCACCAAATTAGAGAGGATGAAATTGGGCATTCAATTAGAAACTCCTCCTTGGCAGGGTGGGGAGGCACAGAGAGGCTGCAGAAGGGGCAGGGTGGCTGATTCTTGGAGGAGCTGAGGAAGGAAGAGGGGAAATTCTGGGAGAGATCCGACAATCCTTGGCCAAGCACCACGGAACGCGTTGGGCGCAGTCACCTCACCGGCCCCGTGCTCATCCCATGTTTCTGCTTTATTTGCTCTGCTTTATTTTCACTTTCTGTTCTCCCTTCCTCCTCCCCCTGGTTCTGTAGAGCAAAATATTTGATTTGGAGGGAGGAGGAGGCTCCCAGTGACTGGCTGGCCCCAGTTTGCTGCTGTGGGTGGGGGAGGAAGAGCCTTTTTTTTTTTTCCTCCTTTGCCTTTGTTCACTGAACTTGCAGGAGTTTTAATGGAAAAGAACTTAATGCCACATTATATTATTGTAAAATCGCTGGCCTTTTTGATTTATTTTTCTTGCTACTTCCTATTTTTGGTCTTCATGTACTGTTTCTTTGAGCTCCTGTATATTTTTATTAAATATCTTTGGTCGCTCCTAATGGAAAGTGCTAAGAAAAGTCATTTCCCTTCTCCTAATATTTTTAAGTGTTTGTTGGGTAAGTAAATGATGTTTTCTGTGGAATTAATACATTGACTTAAGTATTTTAATTAAATCAGTAAAGTAAAGCTGGTTTTGCTTGTTACCTTGTTTTAGAAGCTTTTTTATTTCATCTGGAAGCAGCATTTAAAGTTGGGTGTTGTAGGGGAGGAGTTGTTTCTATGGGAATTGTTGCTGCAGTAATTTTTGAATGGCTTTTGAAATTGGAGCAAAATAATGCAGATTGATTTCTTCCTTCCATGCTGAGATGGTTTCGCTTCTCTTCACTAAGATTTTGTTGTGAGTTAGATTGGTTCCTTTAGGGAAAGCAACACAGAAAGTGAAGAGAAAGTGAAATATCTCAGTCTCAGGATGGTTAAAGGATGATGTGCTGGAGGTGTTTCCAGGCTTTCAGGAGAATTCTGCTTTTCCATCATTCCAAGGTCTCCATTTAGAGGAATTTGTGGGGATTTTTAGTGCAGCTCTGGGGTTCCCATGAGTTCCAGCCGCCATCCACTCAAGGAGTGCTCCATGAAATAATTCTGAACATGTTCAGTCCCGGTGGTGACTCCTGATTTTTGTGCTGACTCATTTCAGTTTCAGGTCATTAAGCAGCTCCTAATGAGAAATTGCTCCTGGCCCAAGGCTTTAATTGCCCCGGGTGGGATTTAGCACAGGAATGTTCATGGCCACCTCCCCTGCCTGCAGGGAGAGCGCTCAGGGCTCATCTGGGGTTTTACACACTCGGTGCCTTTCAGTATTTTCTGTTTAAAATACTCTGAGGAGCATTTTTGAGCACAGATCCTTGCTAAAATTTCACCTGTAACGTGAATAACTTCTCCTGTATTCAAATCTGATTTTCTGGCAGCTCAGCAGAGCAATAACCCAGTGCCCAGGAGTTTCAATCCAGGTGCTGCATTGTTTCCCTGTGGGTGTGTCCAATAAAACAAAAAGATGATTTTTGCAGTTAATGGCAGGAATTCCTGGGTTTGTCATCACAACAAAGCATTAAAGCACATGTTCAGTGCTTTTCATTTCCTCCTTCCGTGGTGCCCAGGAATTGTGGAGCTCTGGGGGTTTGAAGTGCTCCAGTGGGTTCCAGGTGAGGTCTTTGATGTGAAATTTGGGAGTTAAATAAATGTGAATTGGTCTCACCTGGTTAATCCTTCCTTGGCCTTGGCATCCAGGGTTTCCACTCTGAGTTATTTGTCTGCCTCTTTTTATTTCCATTTGACATTGGCAAGGCTTGGACTTCGCTTTACCTCAGGGCTTTTGAAGCAAAAAAATTCATCCTCATGATTGTTTCCAGAGAAACTTGGACTTCCATAGGGATCTGTTATTCCCTTTGAAAATTCGGATTGGTCACTAATAGTATAAGCAAAAAAAAAAAAAACCAAACAATTTGAATATAAAATATTGCCTAATGTCATTTTATAATGCATTACCTAACATACAATGTATGCATTCTAATATACAATACATAATTATATAAGAATTAGAAATATATGTATTTCTAATATCTATAATATATAAATATAAACTGGTTTTATATCTTTTATGCATATATAATATTTCCTACATAAAATATATCATATATATAAACTGTTTATATCTATATTATAAATATTTTATATCTATATATATCAATTACTCTTTTATAGGACAGACTGATTTCTTCAGGCTGGAGTCCCCTTTAATAATCACAATTTTGGGATTATTTAATCACAACTTTGGGATTAAAATCCTGCAATCCTGCAGGAGTTTAAGGTTCTTCTGTTTGTTTAAAATCTTTCCCTTTTAGGATTTTTTTTATTCCTATCTACCATAGAACAAAACTAAATTCAAATTCACTTTTTGGTTGTGTTACTTTTGACCTTGTCAGTTTTTAGGATCTACAAGTTACAGAGCCAAATGTGAGTTCCAAGTGCATTTTTTTGTTTGCTTGTTTCAGGTAATGTTCATTTTCTTTAAAATCCTTTTCCTCTTTACAGACCAAAGTCAGCAAAACAAACGAAAGCCAAAAACCAAAACTTGTGACTATGAAAAAATGAGGTAAGAAATACTATTTATTTTTAAATTTATTCCTATTTTGAGCTATTTTAGGTAAAATTAATACAACTGGGATTCGCTGCTTGCTCCCTGCTAATGGCTTTGTGTAATTTTTTACATCCTGAGAGTGGATAAATTCCCCAAAATTACAATTTTTCCACAGTTACTGCTTGAAATGTGAAAATCCTCCATGCCCAGCTGAGTTTTAGTGCATGAAGGCATAATTGGAATATTTGCTGTTGGAGCAGAGAGGGGGGACAGGGGTTTTGTTGCAGTTGTTACATCCAAAGTCACAGCAATAATTGTAACTCCTACCTCCTTTCCAAGGTCTCCCTTGCACCAAATAATTGTTCAAACTCCCCTGGCACTCCCTGAGCTCAGGAGAAAAAATGAAATCTGGTTTTGTGGGTTTTATTTGATGAAAGAACTTTGCTTGGAGGCCTTCAGTTGTTTGTTGGCTCCAATTTCCAGTCAAAAATCTGATTTTAAGGCCAAGGATGCTCCTGTAGAACAGGAGTGTGAATGGTTGTACTTGGGGCTAAAATTCAATTAATTCAGGTAAAACTATAGATTTTATCGTATTAAATATTTCTATTTTAAATATTTATTAAATATATAATTCTATATTAAAAATTGTATTTACTTTTTAGTATATTTTAATATGTTTAATTCTATATTAAATGTATTATATAATATATTTATTTATTATATGTTATAATATATTAATTATTGGTTGTACTTGGGACTAAAATTCAATTAATTCAGGTAAAACTATAGATTTTATCATATTAAATATTTATATTTTAAATATTTATTAACTATATAATTCTATATTAAAAATTGTATTTACTTTTTAGTGTATTTTAATATATTTAATTCTATATTAAATGTATTATATAACATATTTATTTATTATATGGTATAATATATTAGTTATTGGTTGTACTTGGGGCTAAAATTCAACTAATTCAGGTAAAACTATAGATTTTATTGTACTAAATATTTATATTTTAAATATCTATTAAATATAATTCTATATTAAAAAGTGTATTTAATTTTTAGTATATTTTAATATATTTGATTATATATTAAATATATTATATAGTATATTTATGTATTATATTATAATATATTAATTACTATATTATATTAACAATATATTTATTGTTTCACTTAAAACAGAATTTATCAGAGGAAATCACTGAATATTTCCAATGGTGCTGGGGCCACCACGCTCTGGGGATTTTTGTTGTGTTTAGGATGGCTCAAAATGGTAAAAATCCCACAAAACAAGATTTTTATTGTATGGGAATAGGGAGGTTTCCATTCAAGAGAATTTTTCCAAGGCAGATTTCAGGTTTCTTTAGGAGACCTGATTGTTCCCAGTCCTAATCTAAGTGTGGCCATAACCCCAAATTTCTTTAAATCAATATTTATTTTTCAGTACAATCCTGTTGTTTTCCTGTCATTTTTTGAGCACCAGTGTAGGTAGAAAAATTGAAATTTTGCCCCAGGAGAGGTCATTACATTGAATTATCAGTGGCTTCCTTTTCCTTTCACTTCAAGGAGGGGAGATATTTTCATTTATTGTGGAACAGATCCTCTGTAAAGCAGCTGAACCAGCTCCAAAATTGCTTCTCTGCTGGGGGGGGATGATCAGAGCTAAGAAAACCACATTTATTGGAAATAAATTGAGATCTGAAGCACCTTTACAAAGCCTTGGTGCCCCTGTGCTGTTTGTTGTAGGGACCATGTGGATTTGAAGAGGGAATCTAAAGCCATGGAGGATAAAGGTTTCTGTGCTGTGCCACAGGTAATGGGAATCCAGCCTTAAACTGGAAATGATTTCTCATTTTTAGGAATATTGCACAAAATCTTGGTTAATTCCAAAATTTCACTCTCTGTGCTCTGTGTGGCTTTGATCAGAGGCAGGAATTCTGTGGTTACACTGATTTATTCTGATTTATTCTGATTCTTTTCTGGTTTCTCTTTCTTCTCCTGCTGTAAAACCTGGCTGGGATAATTTTTAATTAAATTTTTAATTAAATTTTTAATTAAATTTTTAATCAAAAATTTAAAACCTGGCTGGGATCATTCAGGAATTTAAAAAGCCCTTCCCAAATTTCTGCCTAAATTTTTTTTTCCAGTGTTGGATGCATTTGGAAATAACCAATTGTGTGGATTGGCTGTTGGAAATGCAGTAAAATTCATACAAATTTTATAAAATTCATACACTGGGGGAAAATTCTCCTCTGGTCAAGCACCAATAAATTCCTGAAGGAAATAATGGCAATGCTTAACTAATTAATTAAATTATTTTATTAATTAATTCAATAAGTAATTCTTTCATCCCTGTTAATTGAGGGATGTGGATACCAAAAATCTTTATTCAGATGAAACACATTAAATACCTCACAGGATAAAACTGAATTTAGGAGAAAGTGCAGGTTCTGCCCCTTATTTCCTATCAAACACTTCTCTTTGTTTTGCTAATTCCTTGCTGGTGTTGAAAGGGACATTTTCACTCCTTTGATCTGCTTTGGATGTCATTGAGCATTAAAATAATATCATTTGTTCTGATCTGTTGGGACAGCATTAACCCAGGGTTGTAGGAAATGAAAATAAATCTTAATTATTTACATAATAATGTAAATTCCTGCAGCTTTCAGGAAGTATCAGTAGTGAAAACAAAATATCATTTTAGCATGACATAATAACAAATAATAATATAATGGACTGTGAAACCTTCCAGCATGAGCTGAGCTGGACACAAATGAAAAATGAAATAATTCTCAGCTCTTCCAGAAACATTTGGATACAAAAAGTGAGGAAATGCAGAAGTGGATACAAAAAGTGAGGAAATGCAGAAGTCTGGGTGGTGCTCGTGGGTTTTTTTATGTGTGAGAAAAATTAAAATGGTGCTTGAGCTAAAGTTGCAGCTTTCTGGAGAGAAATTTAGAATAAAAATGAGATTAGAAATTAGAAATAAAAATAAAAGTAAGTTAGAAATTTAGAATAAAGATGAGATTTTTAAGAGATTGGCAGCTCCATGAAAATCTAATGCAGGAGTTTTATAAAAACGCACCTGGTTTGCTGCTTGAAAAGTGAAATTGTGGTGACACAGTTCAGGAGGCTGCAGAATTTCCACTTGGCTGTCTCAGAAGTATTCTAGCAAATATTTATTTTCTGAATTAAATCTTTTGCTTGCTTTTGAAAGCAAGCAAAAAAAAAAAGTATATTATAAGTTATATTATAAATAATGAATTATTTTATATTATAAATTATATATAAAAATATACAATTATATATAATATATTATAATATATAATTATATATATTATTTATATATATTATTTATATAATTATAAATTATATGAAAAAAATAAAAAAAGAAAATGTTGGGTTTTTTTGAACTTGCTGTCTGTTCACCATTTCAGGGGGATTTCAGTGCTGATGGAAAATCCCTTGGGCTGGAGGGTGATGGAGCCTTGCTGGCCAGGGATAAACCCATTCTATTACCCCTGCTGAAAGCCTTGAATGCTCCAGAATTCACGGTAAACTCGGAGAAATAACCTGGTTTTTATCCCAGAAATTCAAATTTATGCCTTCAACACCTTCCTTCCCCCAAAACAATCCTGACTCTTGTGTGGAAAAACAACCCAACCACACTGGGTTGAGCGTAAAAAAAATTTGAAGGTGCAATGTGAGAAAGAAGGAAAAAAAAAGCCAAAATATTCTGATTTAATAAAAAAAATAGAATTCAATTAGAAAAGGAGGAAAATGCAGTTTTCTGTTGGACTGACTGTCTTTGCTGCGCGTCGCAGGTGGATTTCAGCGCCCTGCCCGAGGAGGTGAAGGCGCTGGCGCGGGACGGCTGCAGGGCCCTGCAGGAGCAGCAGTGCCGCGGGGCTGAACGCGCCTTCTCCTCGCTGCTCGGCCTCCTCCGCAGCGCCGGGCTCGCGGTAAGGCAGCACAGCTCCCTCCTCTGGCCACCCTGGGCCTCCCCTCCCTTCCCCAGAATGTTCGTCATGGATCGCGTTGGGTTGGATTGGGTTGGATTGCATTGGATTGGGTTGGATTGGGTTGGGTTGGATTGGATTGCATTGGGTTGGATTGGATTGGATTGCATTGGATTGGATTGCATTGGATTGGATTGCATTGCGTTGGATTGGATTGGGTTGGATTGGATTGCATTGGGTTGGATTGGATTGGATTGCATTGGATTGGATTGCGTTGGATTGGATTGGATTGGATTGCATTGGGTTGGATTGGGTTGGGTTGGATTGGATTGCACTGGATTGGGTTGCATTGGATTGGATTGCATTGGATTGGATTGCATTGGATTGGGTTGGATTGCATTGGATTGCATTGGATTGGATTGGGTTGGATTGGATTGCACTGGATTGGGTTGGATTGGATTGGATAGGATTGGGTTGGATTAGATTGGGTTGCATTGGATTGGGTTGCATTGGATTGGGTTGGATTGGATTGCGTTGGGTTGGATTGCACTGGATTGGATTGGAGTGGATTGGATTGCATTGCATTGGATTGGGTTGGGTTGGATTGGGTTGCATTGCATTGGATTGGGTTGGGTTGGATTGGGTTGGATTGGGTTGGATTGGATTGGATTGGATTGGGTTGGATTGGATTGCATTGGATTGCATTGGGTTGGATTGGATTGCATTGGATTGGGTTGGATTGCATTGGTGGCTGCCAAGGGAAAGATTTTAGGAGTGTTACACACACACACACAACTGTGTTTCCAAAATATTCCTCCTTTTTCCCCCCCTTTTTCCCCCCCTTTTTCCCCCCCTTTTTCCCCCCCCTTTTTCCCCCCCTTTTTCCCCCCCTTTTTCCCCCCCTTTTTCCCCCCCTTTCCCCCCCTTCCCCTTCCCCTTCCCCTTCCCCTTCCCCTTCCCCTTTCCCTTTCCCTTCCCCTTTCCCTTCCCCTTTCCCTTCCCCTTTCCCTTCCCCTTTCCCTTCCCCTTTCCCTTCCCCTTTCCCTTCCCCTTTCCCTTCCCCTTTCCCTTCCCAAACCTTCCCTTGAAATTTCCTTCAAGTTTCCTTTCCTTTCCTTGAAATTTCCTTCCCCCTTTCCCTTCCCCCTTTCCCTTCCCCCTTTCCCTTCCCCCTTTCCCTTCCCCCTTTCCCTTCCCCCTTTCCCTTCCCCCTTCCCCCTTTCCCTTCCCCCTTTCCCTTCCCCCTTTCCCTTCCCCCTTTCCCTTCCCCCTTTCCCTTCCCCCTTTCCCTTCCCCCTTTCCCTTCCCCCTTTCCCTTTCCCCTTTTCCCTTCCCAAACCTTCCCTTGAAATTTCCTTCAAGTTTCCTTTCCTTTCCTTGAAATTTCCTTACAATTTCCTTTCCTTTCCTTGAAATTTCCTTTCCCCTTTTCCTTTCCCCCTTACACAAATTTTTGCATCACACATTGTGGTTTTTTAAATCAAAACCCTCTCATTGGTTGGATTTCTGATGATCTTAAAGGTCTCTTCTGTGATTGTCAAATTAACTTTGATTTATAAGAGCAAAGGGTAAAAAGGATTTTGAGGGCAAATTCTGTGAAATTTGGTGTCTGTGTAGCCTTACCCAATCAGCCACTGACCCAAAAGTCATCCTGGATTTCTCTTCATTAATTTACAGCATTTTTACCATGTCTTTGTTGTGCTGTGACTATAATTTAACTTCCTTTTTTTTTTTTAGCATGTGAATACTGTGAATATTCTTAATATTAATTATGTTATATTCCTCTATGGACATGCCACTGCCCTCCTGGGACTGGGACATCCTGAGGTAGGATATAATTTATTTGTATTTTTATTTACTTTGATATTTATTTAAATATTTTTATAAAAAATTATTTATTTTGTACTTAAATACTGTCTTAATTCCAATTTATGTATATTTAATGTATATATTTTTAAAAATTTATTTTATATATAAATATTCCCTTAATTCCAATTTCTAGCTCAGGCAGTTTCCCATCCTTTTTTTGTATCTTCCTAACTGGGAAGATGAGAGGGGAGGGAAACCTCTGGACACATTTTGGAATTGTCCAAATTGAATATCTGGGACTAAATCCTCGATAGTTTTGGAATTGGGCTATCAAAAATTGACAGTCAGTAATTTTGATTTCTGCCCTGAGCTGGTGTTTTGGACAGAAATATCCTGCTCCTAAAACAAGAGCCAGGAATTGCTTTGGGTTCTGGAAAATGCCAAACCCGAAGTGGGGCTTGGATTTTTTGGGGTGTTCCTTCCTTCAGTGTTCGGTAATATTCAGTGTCTTAAAATGAATTTAAAAATAGCTGAGCTCAGGAATTTCATTCCTTTGGGTTACAGCAACTCCATGTTTACAGAATAAATTGGGTTTTTTTAAAGAAAGGGAAGTTTTGCCTGTGATCACAAGGGTGTGTAATTCCATTGACTGTTCCTAAGACTGATCAAGGAATAGGCCACACCGACCCAGTCCAAAGGAGGAAAAAACCCTGGAAAATGAAAATATTCTGGCAAAACTCCCTTATTTGTGTCTCACATTTCTTTTGAAGGCATTGGCAAAAGCTGAAGTTCAGTTTAAGAAAATAATTGAGGACTATCCAGAAGAAAGTTGTTTTTGTTTGGCACACTATGGAATTGGAAGGGTTTACCTCAGGCAAAACAGGTTGGTCTGATGGAGAATTTCAGGGTTTGCTGGGAAAAAAAATTTTATTTGAAGAACTGTGCGTGGTGGGGCTTTAATTTTACTGTGTTAATCATTAAATTCATCTGTCAGGTGGGTTTAATCAGTGGATTTAATAAAATGGGTTTCATCCAATAGGTCTAATAAAATGGGTTTGATCCAATGGATTTAATCCAAGTGGGTTTAATCCAGTGGATTTAATGCAATGTATTTAATAAAATGGATTTAATCTAATGGGTTTAATCCAATGGATTCAGTACAATGGGTTTAAATACAATAAATTAAATCAAATGTGTTTAATCCAATGGATTTAATCCAAGTGGGTTTAATCCAATGGATTCAGTACAATAGGTTTAAAATTCAATATAATTATTAATTAAACTATATATATATATAATTATAACAATTATATATATATATATATATATATATATATATATATATATATATATAATTGTTAATTAAATTTATATATATAGAAATTCAATCCAGTGGGTTTAATACAATAAATTAAATCCAGTGGCTTTAATCCAATGTATTTAATCAAATGGGTTTAGTCCAATGGGTTTAATAAAATGGATTTGATACAATGGATTTAATCCAGTGGATTTAATCCAATGGGTTTAATCCAATGGATTTAATAAAATGGATTTAATCCAATGGATTTAATCTAGTGGGTTTAATAAAATTAGTTTAATCCAGTAGATTTAATCCAGTGGGTTTAATGCTGTAGATTTAATCCAATAGGTTTAATCCAATAGGTTTAATGCAAGTGGAATTTTATTCCTGCTGAGGAACTGATGGAAGCTGCTGAGCAGAGCGGATTTGAGGGAATATTTGGGATTCAGGGATCACAGCCCTGCAGTGGGGGAGAGCTCAGGGGGAAAGAACAAACCCTCTTTGTTCTGAGGGAAAAATGCATCCTGAAGAAATCTGGCTTTATCTCCTGCCTGGGGAGCTGGGGGCGGCCTTGGGCTGGGACAAGGCTCCAGTGAGTCACAAATTCCCTGGAGCTGATAAGCAGGGATGTGTTCCTGAGCTGGCACATCCCAGAGGGACAGGGAGAGCCCGGAATGCAGGGCCAGGACAAGGAAAAAACTGGGAGCAAAGAGCTGGAGCTGCTCCCACCCATCCAGGGTTTCCTGCTGAGTTTCTCCCTCGTGGAATCCTGGCTGTGGGAAGCTGGTGAGGGGATTTTGGGGTATCCCTGGAGCTCCTTACCCAGCTGTGATCCTGCTCCTCTGGGAGAGAGGGGAGAAATTCCATGGAAAAGCTCCAGGGTGGAGGGAAAGCCAGGGAGAGCATTTCCTAATGACTCACAGGAAACACTCAACACTCAGGAAAAATAATTTAAAATAATTTCTTGTCCATTGAAACAGAACTGGAGAGTGGGAAACAGAGTAAAACAACTGGAATCAACCTTTCTCTTGCCCTCCTTTATCCCAGGCTGGAATTCAATCCCTCATTCCTGACTCTGTGCTGCCTGCAGGGATGGGGAAGGGGGGAGGTTTCCCCACTGCTCCTCCGTGCCCCCATGACAGTGATTCTCCCTGGTGCCCACGGTGAGGTGTGGTCAGAGATAGAGCAAAGAAAAAACCTTAATGAATTTCCAATATAGAAACTCAGAATGAGAACCCTCCAAAACCACGAGAGGAGGTTTTGTGCAGGGGGTTTTTCCCTTTATCCTGCAGGGAATAAAGCACAGCTGGGCCTGGGGCTCTGCCATCCCCCCCATCCCCTGTCCCCTTGCCATGCCAAAACAGTGCCAAATAAAGGAGTTTTGGTGCTGACCCTTCCCCTCTCCTGCTCCTTCTCCCTGCCCCCTTGCCATGCCAAAACAGTGCCAAATGAAGGAGTTTTGGTGCTGACCCTTCCCCTCTCCTGCTCCTTCTCCCTGCCCCCTTGCCATGCCAAAACAATGCCAAATGAAGGAGTTTTGGTGCTGACCCTTCCCCTCTCCTGCTCCTTCTCCCTGTCCCCCTTGCCATACCAAAATAGTGCCAAATGAAGGAGTTTTGGTGCTGACCCTTCCCCTCTCTGCTGGGGCTGGCTCCAGGCACCTGCTCAGGGCTGGTGGCTGCTCTGAGGGAATTCCTCCTGCCTGGCAGCTGCTTCCCAGCCCTGTGCTCGTGGCTCATTTCCCTGGCAGCCTTGACTGCCAGGAAAGGCCCTGCACAGGTGACAGCACCTGTGGCTCTTGGATAAAGCCCTGTCCTGACCCACAGGTGGGGCAAATGAGAGCTGTTCTAAAAACTTCTGTTCCACTTTCAGGCTCATGTGAAGGCTGAGACAACACAAATGTTGTAATTCACACCATCACAGTCAGAAGCCAACTAAAAAACAATCATCTAAAATCACCCCTCATAAATCTTACTACAATGCATTTTTCATTGTTCGATTTCTCCAAAACATCTAGTTTTATTTACAGAAATTTATTTATTTATTCATTTCTAATTCCATTTCTCTCTCAACAATATCTATCCAATTCCATAACATTTCTAAGCCAGCATTTCTTACCTCAAACCTTACATACAAATCCATGCTATATAAACCTTCTGTCAAGTTTTAAACATTTCCTACAAATCCATTTCCCAGCTGTGGCCAGGCAGAGCCATCCCCATGTCTGAGCTCAGGGAAAGCCAAGGCAGAGAGCTGTGTCCCTCCTGCTCACTCACTGCCCCTGAACTCCCACATCCCTGCATCCCTGGGGTCACAGGCTCATCCCTGCCTGCCTCACACCTCCAAACGACCAGAAAATGGAAATGTTGGAACATTTGGGTGCTTTTAAACTTTAATTTTTTTTTAACTTTTTAAAGTTTAAAAGTTTTAATTTTAAAAGTTTTAATTTTAAACTTTCTGTGCTGGAAGACACAGACCCTCAGGAGAACACTGCAATTGACCTAAAGCCGTAGAGAAGACTTCCAAAATTAATTAATAACACACTATAATTACAAGTGTGGAGTTTAATTAGAAGTGTGTAATGTCACAAGGTAGAAAACCTAGAATTTAAAGTTTTAGAATATAATAATATATATAGAACAAGATAAAAGTTTAAAGCAGAAGCTGGTCCTTCTTCTTTACCTCCTCCTCCTCCTTCTCCTTCTCCTTCTCCTCCTTCTCCTCCTCCTTCTCCTCCTCCTCCTCCTCCTCCTCCTTCTCCTTCTCCTCCTTCTCCTCCTTCTCCTCCTTCTCCTCCTTCTCCTCCTTCTCCTCCTTCTCCTCCTTCTCCTCCTTCTCCTCCTTCTCCTCCTCCTTCTCCTCCTTCTCCTCCTTCTCCTCCTTCTCCTCCTTCTCCTCCTTCTCCTCCTTCTCCTCCTTCTCCTCCTTCTCCTCCTTCTCCTCCTTCTCCTCCTTCTTCTCCTCCTTCTCCTCCTTCTCCTCCTCCTCCTCCTCCTCCTCCTCCAGTTTAAGTAGTGTTCTATACTTAGATACAAATGTCCACATTACAAGACAGGAATAATTAGTTATTAAGTTAAAAGTAAAAACAATTTAAGTGTCATTTCTTAATTAGATAATTTAACCTTAAAAGAGCTTATAGAAAAAATTTAACCATTTTGTAACTTATTAATAGAATACTATAGAACTCACAACTTATGAAACTATAAATAAAAATAATAAATATCTAAATATAACATAAAATACCATCTCAAACATTCAATCCCAACCTTCACAAAAATAAAAAAACCCCCAAAACCCAGCATTTAATGAGCCAGCTGATCTGTCCTTCCCCATCCTCTCAGCCACCACTGTTTGCTCCTGGCAGGATAAAATTGATGGTGGAAATTTTAGGAAATTTTTGCTCCCAGGGGATCTGAGTGTGTTTGACCTGTTCCAAACTCCAGGTTTGTTCATGCCCTCGACCAATTCCTGAAGTCAAAGCTGATGATTGATTTCAAGATTGTCCCTGGAGTTTTAACCTGGCCAGGAACAACTCAGGTCATCGAGGAGACACGAATAGAGAATTTACAGGTATGTTTAAATAAATTTAAAAAAACCACAAATAGAAAATTGTCCTGCTCCTCCCTGCCAAGGTCCAGGGTGATGGGGGATACAGGAAGGATGGGGAGCAGCAGGCAGGACCCTGAAGCTGAAATTCCTGTTGGGGAAATTCCAGTTCTCCTTTTTCCACAGTGGGAATTGTGCAGTTTCCACAGGCCAGTGGGCTTGGAGAGGAAGCTTTGTTTGAGCTCACAAGGTGTAGCCATTCTCCATTTATCATTTTTCCATTTTATCATTTTCCCATTTTATCATTTTCCATCATTTTTTGTTTATCATTTTTGGTTTATTATTTTTCCATTTACCATTTTTTCATTTCTCTTTTTTTTTTTATTTACCCTTTATCAGAATTGGCCAGGCAGGGCCTGTGTGTGGCACTCAGTGACCAGCTGGGGATGTGTCCCAGGTTGGATTTTGGAGCTCTTTTCCAGCCCCAGTGGTTTTGGATATTATTTGATTCTTTTCCTTGCACGCTCCCAAATTTTCAGGTGTGAACACACAGCAGAATTCTGGGGAGAACCAGTTCAACATCTGAGCTGGCAAAACCAAGAATTTGATAATTTAAAAGCAAACCAGGAGACTTTGACCACAGAGATAAAACATTGGGATTTATGTGGTAAAATTCCCTGCTTGACTGGAAAAAATCTGGCACCAGGAGCTGCCCTGCACAGGGGCATTTCTAACACAGCTGAACTGGGAGGGTTTTTCTCTTGGCCAGATCCCTAGAAACTCTGGTTTTGGGCTTTTTGCTCTCAAAAACCGCCCTCAGGGTTTCTCAGAGAGGCTGTGGATCCGTCCATCCACGGTCAGGGCCTCTGCACAATGCAGGTTCCTGCCAGGCTTCACCAGGGCTCTGTTCTTGGCCTGTTCTGGGCTCACCATCCCATAATAGGAAGGCCACCCCACACACTAAAGCAGCCCAGAGTCTGAAATATAAAAATGCTCAGACCTGAGGCTCATTCCAGCCCTGCCCTGATCTCACATGGAATCTTTGCCTCAGAAATGACCTGGGACACCTCCCTGGTTCCCCAGGGCCAGCTCTGAGCTTGGGCCTTAGCCCAGGGCCAGGTGAGACCCTCTGGAAATGCTGGGAATCTTCAGAAATGACCAAAAAAAACCCCATTTTCACCCCATAATCTGTTTAATCATTTGGACAATGATAAAGCCATTTAGACAGTGACAAAACTCTGGAATGGGGCAGGATTGGGGACACTGGCCTGGGACAAACCTGAATTTTTCTGGGTGTTGGAGGCTGTGAGCACTCAGCTGCCAGCACTTCAGGCAACCCCTGGAATATTTTGGCCATAAAAGGCCAATCTTGCCTGGCTTTGACTAGAAAAGAGTTTATTATATTTTGGGATTAGTCACTGCTCTGCCTAGAGGGATGTGTTTCCCTGGAGTTTGTGAGTAGAAGTTGAATCTTTTCCTGGTCCTGTGCACTTTACCTCTGATCATTCTGTGTTTTCCAGATGGCTTTAAGGAATTATATTGAGGAATGTAAATTCCCTCCAGAGCCAGATGCTGTTTGTCGGTATCAGCAGTGCCATGGCTACTCCAAAATCCAAATATATTTTACAGACCCAGACTTTAAGGTAAATTTTCAGTTGAGAAAGGTTTGAGAAGTAAAACTTGATGTGTTTTCTGCCCCTTTTTTATATGACCTGGAAAGCTGAGCACTGCTTTTTGTTGTGGTTTTATTTAAAAATGTTCCATTTTTTGCCATTTTTAGGGTTTTATACGAGTTATTTGCTGTCAGCAGTGCAGAGTGGAATTCCACATCAGCTGCTGGAAAAAGCTGAAAACAGCAAGCTACAGTGATAAAAATGATAAGGTGAGGCCTTTGCCACACTGGGATTTTTAATTTTATTAACATGATAGCATTGAGATATGTCAAGGAATTCCACAAAATTCAGCAGCCAGGATAAAATGAAGGGAAATCTGGAGCTCCTAAAATTATTCTGGAAGTTGAATTTTGGGTGTGAAGTTGGAGGAGGGAATAAAAGAATAAAAGATGGCACAGATTTTCCATGATTTTTGATTTTTCAGCCCATCCCAGGAAGAGTTTGGGATTGTGTTTCCTTTGATTGCTTTGGTTACCTCAGATTGAGGAATTAATTTGTGCAGGGGTACAAATCATGTGTGGGTTTAAATCCTTTGTTGTGTGTGTCCTTTTCTCCTGCAGGATTTCCTTAAGGAAATGTGTTTTACTCCTGATTGTAAAGGCCTTATTTCAAAAATAGTTATTTTCAGTTCTTCTGGGCTGGTAAAATGTGAAGTAAGTATGCTTATGTTTTATATGAAATTAATTAGAATATTAAGGGGGATAAAGTGAAATTGAGAATGTAACTGCAAAAAAAAAAAATTACTGCCTTAAGAGATTGTGAGGATTATTTAGGAATATGGATTTCCTGTTTAGTGGAGCAGGAATTGCCTTGGTGTTGGTCACATTGTCATGGATGGGAATGGAATTCAAGGAATTCAATAATCCTTGAATAATATTGAATTCAATAATCCTAATTCCTTCAGGAATAACTCCCAGAGGCACAGGAAAATTGAGAATTCTGCCCAGGGCAATATTGACCTGAGAGAAGCAGAAATGATTATGGGGTTTGTTGTGTCATAACCCAAATTTAATTCCTGTCCTATCCCTTGCTTTGGTAGTTTGAACAAAAAATCCCAAAGCTCAAGGAACCACCAAGGGCCTGTATAAAACAGAAATGTTCAAGGTAAGATTTGTCCTCTTTGAATCGATCTTAGAGCAAAGCAGGAGGGATTTTCCTGCCTTTTTACAAATATTTTGGGAAAGTTACCCTCGCCCTTTGCCTGATCAACCAAAAAAATCTGGTAAAATCCATTATAATCCAATGGTAAAAGCACTTAAATTGTTCCACAGAATTTATTTTGTGTGCATGTTTAGAAAGTGTAAATATAAATGTATTTGATGCTGCTGCTGTAGTTACTGATGCTCAGATATTTCACATAACTGAGCTGGCAATTTTTTGGTCAAGTAACCTTTAAATAATGAGGAATAAAGCTGAGAGGACAAACAAACCAGATTTTTAAAAAGGAAAGGAATAAAATGTTAATATTTGGTTGAAAATGCTGAGTTATAAATTAAGAATAAGAGTATTGAAACCAATCCTAATTTAAACATCTCTAATGGGAGTAGAAGTTGTTCCACCTTGAGGAAAGCAATATTTGTATGAATTTTTGTGGTCTCTGCTCCTAAATGAAGACCACTTTTATTCCATTTGTACTTTCCAGTGTGATATTTGCACCTCAATTAACCTTTGGCTGGCTGCTGAATTGCTTTTTGCAGTCTTAGGAAGATAAAAATGAAGCAAGAAAAGAAACAGCGGCGAAAACGAGCGCGAGAAGAGGCCAGGAATTCTGCCAGGAAAAAAGCTGAGGAAAAGCAGGAGGGCAATGAGCAATCCCAGTTCAGCCAGCACAGGGGTGGGTGAAAATGGGGATTTGGGGTGGTTTCTCCATGGGAAGGGTGAGAATGGGATGGGAGGTTGGGGCCCCCAGCCCTGGGTGTCCAAGGAAGGAGCTCTGGGCTGGGACAGGGAGGGATCAAAGCTGGGTCTGATGATCCTGGGGCCTTTTCCAGCCTCACTTTCCCTGGGATTCTGGGATTCTGAGTCAGCACAAAGCACTGGGATCAGCATTCTGAGCATCCCCAGCTCAACCCCAGCAAAATCCTAATACTGAGCATCAACCCCTGTGAAAAATCGGTGTTTTTACTTCAGACAGGTTTTATTTCACTTCTGTTTCTATTGCTGGGGGATGTTCCTGTGTGTGGTTATTGGTTATTGATTGTTGGGGTGTTGGGGGTGCCAGCATGAGGTGAGAGATGAGAATCTGACTCCAAGGTCTCAGAAGGCTGATATATTATATTATATTATATTATATTATATTATATTATATTATATTATATTATATTATATTATATTATATTATATTATATTATATTATGTTATATTATATTATATTATATTATATTATATTATATTATATTATATTATATTATATTATATTATATTATATTATATTATATTATAATATATATAATATATTATATAATATTATGTTATATGATATTATATATCATATTGCATTTATTATATTTTATTTGATTTATTTTATTATATTATATCTATTACACTTATTATATTATATCTATTACATTTATTATATTGTATCTATTACATTTATTATATTTATTACATTATATCTATTATATTTATTACATTATATCTATTATATCTATTATATCTATTATATTATATCTATTATATTTATTATATCATATTATATTCATTGCATTTATTATATTAATTACATTTATTATAAGAAAATGATACACTAAACCTGTACAAAAGAAAGAGAAAGGAGACATCATAAGGTTGATCAAGAATGAATAATAAAAACCTGTGACTGACCACAGTCCCAACACAGCTGGACTGGGATTGGGCATTAATTAAAAACAATTCACATGGAACCCATCCAAGCTGCAGCTGTTGGTGAATGATCTCCACACCACATTCCAAGCAATCACATAATTATTGTTTGCATTTCTTTTCTGAGGCTTCTCAGGAGAAAAAACCCTGGTGAAGGGATTTTTCATGAAATATCCCAGTAACAGCTGTGTGGTTCATTCCTGTGTGGTTCATTCCTGTGTGGTTCCACTCCTGTGTGGTTTCATTCCTGTGTGGTTCCACTCCTGTGTGGTTCCACTCCTGTGTGGTTCATTCCTGTGTGGTTTCATTCCTGTGTGGTTCCACTCCTGTGTGGTTCCACTCCTGTGTGGTTCATTCCTGTGTGGTTCCACTCCTGTGTGGTTCCACTCCTGTGTGGTTCATTCCTGTGTGGTTCCACTCCTGTGTGGTTTCACTCCTGTGTGGTTCATTCCTGTGTGGTTCATTCCTGTGTGGTTCATTCCTGTGTGGTTCATTCCTGTGTGGTTCCACTCCTGTGTGGTTCATTCCTGTGTGGTTCATTCCTGTGTGGTTCCATTCCTGTGTGGTTCCACTCCTGTGTGGTTTCACTCCTGTGTGGTTCACTCCTGTGTGGTTTCAGTCCTGTGTGGTTTCACTCCTGTGTGGTTTCAGTCCTGTGTGGTTTCACTCCTGTGTGGTTCATTCCTGTGTGGTTCATTCCTGTGTGGTTTCACTCCTGTGTGGTTCATTCCTGTGTGGTTTCACTCCTGTGTGGTTTCATTCCTTGTAGAAAACCTCAGTTTTCCCTTGGCTGGTTCCTGCAGAATCAGCCTGGAGAGGGGAAAGGCTCCAATTCTGAGTGAACCCATTGGAAAGGGATTTCAGGAAAAGCACCTGGGGACCCTGGTAGACAAAAAAATATCTCAAATAAAGACAGAGTGATCTTGAAAAGGACATTCCAGATGACTGAGGAAAATAAAAATGCTTCAGCCTGTGACTTTGTAGGCATTTAAAGCTTCAGCTTTTCCTTGCTGGATGTTGGCTGCTCCACATTCCAGAGCTGGGAACTTCCCCTGCAGCTTCTCAGGGCAAAGAAAAAGGGGAATGTCGGAAAATTTATTTTTTTGTCTGTATTACCAATTTGGGATATAGATAATTTATCATTGCCTAGGATTCCCTGTCACATACTCTGGGTGTATTTGTTTTAATCCCATGCTTGGTGTTCTCTGGGTGCCTGTTCCCTGCTCAATGGCTTATCCTGAAAATTGTGGAGAATTTGGCTTCCCTGTGGATTTGTGAAATCATTTATTATTATAGCTTCATTTATTTCCTGTTGGTTTTGTTTTAAATCTTTGCTCTCTCCTCTTCTCTGGCTCATCTTTACTTGTGATCCTTGGAGCCACTGCAGGTCACTGTGACCTCATCCTTAAATCTGGGCAAGGACTTTGTTTCTTTAGACAGAAATTCAAATCAAATCAAATTGGATCAAATTCCTAAGGCTCAGGTTGTATGGAAAAAAAAATCATTCTTTAAATGCTGTAATTCTCAGTGTAAAACAATTAGAAACACCACTAACCCAAATTACCTGCTTTTTAAGTTGTTTTTGAGGTTTTTAAAGCTTTTTGAGCTTTTTCAAGTTTTTAAGCTTTTGAAAGTAGCTTTTTTTAGCTTGGAATTGTGGTAAGGACATGAAATCTTGCTGGTTTTGTGCCTTTTTTCATTGGAATATTTTGACTTTTCCAGGTCCTGGCCATGATTTATATGCTGGGGACCAAATCCTGCAGCACATCCGGCGCAATTCCGAGCAGATCAAAGCTGCTGTCCCTGACACTGCCAAATTATTACAGGAACTGCTGGCCTGGGGAGTGATCAGAGAGGAGGATTTCAGCTCTTATTCCCAAATTGGCAGTGCCCAGGAGGTGCTGGAGCAGCTGCTGAGCTCCTTGGTCCAGGAGAAGAGCCGGGTGCGGAGCAGGGCCTTCCTGCATGTGCTGAGCCAGCTGGGAGAGGTGGATCCCAAAGTGCACAAGTGGCTGCAGCACCTGGATCACCTGGGTGGGTTCTGAGAGCACAGAAAAGTCTCCTTTTCCTCATTTGAAACTGCCAAGTGAAACTTCTCCTCTTTGTCTTCTCCCTGATTTCCAGAGGGGAACCCAGCCTGGGTGACCCAGGAGCTCAGCAGAGAAAATTCATCAATTTTTATGTGGTCCTCAAATTCCAGAATGAGTTTAAATGCTGGTATTTGTAGCAATAATCTGGTTTTGGAGAGTAAATAATGGGGTTTTGCTATGAAACTTGGAGATGATTTAATGTTGGTGCTGTGCAGTTTCCTGTTGGGTTTATAATGGAAAAAGAACCCTGGGATTTTGGGGTTGTTAGTTTTGCTTTACCACATCCATGTCCTTCCAAGAATTCCTAGAATTCTTAGAATTTCCTTTCCTTTTTCCTTTCCTTTTTCCTTTCCTTTTTCCTTTCCTTTTTCCTTTCCTTTTTCCTTTCCCCTTTCCTTTCCCCTTTCCTTTCCCCTTTCCTTTCCCCTTTCCTTTCCCCTTTCCTTTCCCCTTTCCTTTCTCCTTTCCTTTCCCCTTTCCCCTTTCCTTTCCCCTTTCCTTTTTCCTTTCCTTTCCTTTCCTTTCCTTTCCTTTCCTTTCCTTTCCTTTCCTTTCCTTTCCTTTCCTTTCCTTTCCTTTCCTTTCCTTTCCTTTCCTTTCCTTTCCTTTCCTTTCCTTTCCTTTCCTTTCCTTTCCTTTCCTTTCCTTTCCTTTCCTTTCCTTTCCTTTCCTTATCCAAATCCTGTTGTAATTATGATACAAACAATAATTGTTGAGATTAGAATTTATATCAACCCCATTGCTCATTTTTTGTTTGCATTTCCAGGACACAAAAGCTCTCACACCACCTGTACATTGAATTTCTAGACCAAACTCTTGCCCTTTGAAGAGGAATATCCCATTTTAAGCATTGACAATTTAAAGCTGGAATGAAATATTTGGCCTTTTTTTCATCTTTTTCAGGTCTGACAGCTACACAAAACTTTCTCCTTCAATATGGCCAAGTTCTGCAAGAGCTTGACCTTTCTATTTTAACCCCCCTGTGGAACCAGAGATATGGCAGTAAATTTGATAACGTGGCAGCTGATGGTGAAAAGCAAGAAATTAGTGATTATTTTCTCACCCCTCCCCTAGAGAAATCCCGTTGTTTTATATGGCTTTTAGAAGAAAACAGAGAACATTTCCCAGAGCTCCACCAAGCTTTAGATGAATTCTTTGATAAAATGGGTGAGTAGCCAAAGGGAGCAAACATTTCCTGTAAAAATTGATTTTTATTGTGAGTTTTTAGCGTTAAAGTTGTGCAGCTGCAGGTTTGGAGCTGCTTTGGTGGTATTGGATGAAGGAACAGAGCAATAATTCCTGTGATTTCACAGTTAAACTGTAAATTAATTAAATTATTGTTATTTCCATCAATCACCATCATTTTTATCCTTTCCACAGATGATCCAACCATTATATTAAAGAAGCAGGGAAATGAGAATTTATCAGTAAGTGAATTTTATTTCTGTTTAGCCTCAGCTCACAAAGAAAAGGAAATATTTTGCAGCCTGGTCCTTCAGCCTTATTGGAGATTTCATCTCTTGGTTTAGCTCCCTTTTCTTAAATGATTTGAGATTTGAATTATTTAATAATAATTTTCCAAGTGTGCCTCCTTCTGAATCACTTTTTGATTGGTGTCATCAATCAAATCCATCCTGATTGGCAGAAATAGAATTTGGATTTCAGTTAATTCTGTGTTTGAGGCAACCTCACTGAAGTTCTTGTCTGCAGTTAAATTTACCTTTACAAATCCAAGATTTACCTTTACAAATCCAAGATTTACTTTTGATTCAGGATAAAGCTTTAGAGTTAATTAATGTACATATCAAGAAAATGCAGATTTTTTAATGTGCACATTAATAAAATGCAGAGTTTTTAATTTGCACTTTAATAAAATGAAGAATTTTAAATGTACTCATTAATTAAATGCAGTTTTTAATGCACACATTAATAAAATTCAGAATTTTTAATGCGAACATTAATAAATGCAGTTTAAAATAAGAATAAAAATTCTGCATTAATAAAATGCAGATTTGTAAATTTACACAATAATAAAATGCAGAATTTTAAATGTGAACATTAACAAAATGCAGAATTTTAAACATGAACATTAATAAAATGCAGAATTTTAAACATGAACATTAATAAAATGCAGAATTTTAAATGTGAGCATTAACAAAATGCAGAATTTTAAACGTGAACATTAATAAAATGCAGAATTTTAAACGTGAACATTAATAAAATGCAGAATTTTAAACGTGAACATTAATAAAATGCAGAATTTTAAACGTGAACATTAACAAAATGCAGAATTTTAAACGTGAACATTAATAAAATGCAGAATTTTAAAGTGTACACTAATAAAATGAAGAACTTCAAATTTACATGTTAATGAAATGCAGAATTTTTAATGTACATCTTAAGGAAATGCAGATTTTTTTAAACTCTACACATTAATTACATGCAGAATTTTAAATGTACTTGTTACTGAAATGCAGAATTTTTAATGTACATCTTAATGAAATGCAGGTTTTTTAAAATCTACACAATTATTACATGCAGAATTTTAATGTACATGTTAATGAAATGCTGATTTTTAAAAAATCTACACATTAATTACATGCAGAATTTTTAATGTACACATAAATAAAATCCATATTTTTAAATGTACACATAAATAAAATGCAGATTTTTTTTTTTTTTTTTTTTTTTGCTTTTTCATTTCATGAATTGGGAAATCCAAGAATGAAATAAAAACCAGCACAAGAAAACTGCTTTGATTTCAGTGTTAAAATAACCTGTAATTATTCTGTTCTTGTGTAATCTCAATCCTCTTAGAGAATAATTCAAATTTCAGTTCCCTCATCTTTGTCTTTCTTGGAAAACTGAAGCAACATTTGCCAATCCTGTGCCTTCATTTTCTTTTCTGTTTCAGAATAATGAAATCAAAGTTAAAAACAAAAACAGGAAGAAGAATTTGAAAGATTCAAAGGTCAGTAACTTTGGGGGCTGCTGAAGCAGCTTTTACCAGGCAGGTGCCATTTATTTACTGCTGAAAACCCACCTGAAAATTGAGATTTTCTTAGAATTTCTGCCATGTGGGTGGATGGGAGCTGTTTCTGTAAATATCTTGAGGAGATTCCTTACTCAAGTAGCTTTTCCTGAAGTAAAATTAGGCTGTTAAGATTTAAAGGATACAGTTTTGGTAACATTTATCAGTATAAAAGCTATTTTAAAATTTGTTTATGACTGACTTTGGCTCTGACTGGAGGCTCCTTCCACTGGCTTCAATCTGAATTATTGCTGTGATTTTAATTTTCTGTGTTGGTTCAGAAACTCCATTTCATGCTCAGAAATGTTATTAATTATTCATTATTTTATAGATTTTATTGGAATATTATTCTGCCTGAATTTTCTGCTGCCTTTTGGAGGATTTTGCTTTATTGAAAACCTCATGCCCTCACCTCTTTGTCATTTTTAGTAAACTTCAGATTTTTTTCCTCAGGATTTATTTTTCTGACTAGGGTGCATTTATTTGTGGATTTTTAAATTATTTGATAATAAAAATAAAGACAACTAAAATGTGTGTAATGGTATAGACAGATATAATAATAATAACCAGAGTCACATGTGGAATTAGGGATAAGTCCTGCTTGTGGTAAATTTGTTACAGCCTCAAATCTAAAAGAAAGTTTAATTAAATTTTGATGAAATTGGTAAAAAAAGAGGGATTTGGGGCTGAATATCCCAAATACATTCTGAAGAATGAATTAATATCTTTAAATTAAGAATTAATTAAGATGTGCCTTAGCACTGATAATTTTACCTGGAAATTTTGCAGTTCGTAACGAACACGATGAATTTAAAGAACAAAATTCAGTGTAAATAAGTTAGTCCTGGTCTTTGCAGTGGATTATGTTACATGAGCTTCTGTCAGGTAAAAACTAAAAGAAATCTGTTTTTAATTAGTCTATTTTAGTATTATCCAGTGGAGTTAGTACAGCACCACGAGAAGAAGAGAAGATATTTATAGAAGAAAATAATTTGTGAGTATTTGATTCTGCTTTTCTTGCCCAAACTGCTGCAGAAGAATCCCTTAAAAACACCAAGGCTGGCTTCACTTGATTTTATTTTTTCTGATTTTTAAGGTACAGAGATTTTCCAAATGAAAATCCCTTTGTAATCCCTGAATATCTCCAGGAGCAACTGGAGGAATTCGAAGCCAACTATAATATTGCAAATAGTAACAATTATCAAATGAATAATAATCCAGATCCAATCTCTGAGAATTTATATGAGTGAGTATGAATTTCTGTATTTGGGAGCTTCAGGGGGTTGAATTTTACTTCGTAATTTTAATAATTTTTTTGATTAATTGGAATCCTGATGGGTGTGGCGTGTCTGTGAAGGAATGGATTAAATGGATTAAAGGAATGGATGAAAAAACTTGAATTAATTATAATAATTCTGGTTTTTTTTTTTAAAGTTATTTCTCTCAAATCTTGGAAGAACATGGCCCTCTGGAAATTAATAATAAATTACTGGTTGGGGAATATGAAAACTTCCCTGAGGAGACTCGGAAGGTGGTGGAGGATGAAGGCGGCCTGGAGCCCTTCCTGCTGAGATCCCTTCGGTTCATCATGGTGGATAATCTGATTGGCCTGAGGAAGCACTCGGTCCTTTTTGAAGGAAATCCAAGCAGAAATGAGAATAAAACCGAAAATCCACCTGGGGAATTGCAGGGGAGCCCTTCCCCCAGCAAGCTGCCCTTGAATCCCTATGCCCAGGAGTTCAGGCCTCTCTCGTACCCCGTGGACGCCCCTGTGGCAGCAGCTCCTGATCTACCAGATTATCACACCCAGCAATATTTCCCCTACTCCTTCCCTGCTGGCAATCCTCTGGAAAATGCAAATATTGATTCCATGGAAAACCAGATTCCATTTTCAGGTGTTTTACTGAAGGGATTCGAGCCTGCAGGCCCCGCTGTGTTTTTACCTCAGAGCTCCTGGGGTTATCAGTATGGAATAGTGCCCCTGGCACAGGCTGGGTTCATTTATGCTGATCCTGCAGCTCCTCAGGAAAATCTGCACTCAGCAATTCCAGCTGGGAAATGCAGCCCTGGGCCTTTGGTGCCACCTGAAATCCAGGAGCACAAAGGCCCTTGGAGCCGCTTGGAGAACTTGGAGAAAAAGGATTCTGCTTTTCCAAATGGTTCAGATAAAGCTGAGGGTGATAAATGTGTTAAAAAGGAAAAAGGAAAGGAAAATAAAGCCGGGATGAAGAGCAATCCTCACACAAAGATGGTGGCTGTTCAGGTAAGGAGTGGGAAAATGCTGGGGAGGTTTTACAGCCTACATTGGATAGGATGGGCAGAGGGATGGAGCAGCTCTGCTGGGAGGAAAGGCTGGCACAGCTGGGATTGTTCACCTGCACAGGAGAAGCTTTGGGCTGAGCTCAGGGTGGCCTTGCAGGGCCTGCAGGAGCCCCAGGAAAGCTGGAGAGAGACAATTTCCAGGGGATGCAGGGACAGCACCCAGGGAATGGCTTCACACTGAAACATTACAGGTTTAGATCAGATATTAGGAACAATTTCCTCCCTGGCAGGGTGGGCAGGGCTGGGATGGAATTCCACCCCTGGATCCCTGGCAGTGCCCAAGGCCAGGTTGGACACTGGGGACATTGGAGCAGCCTGGGACAGTGGGAGGTGTCCCTGCCATGGATGATTTCAGGGTCCCTTCCATGTATAATTAAGGTTTGCATCTCTTTTCTCTCCCTAGGAGATTCCTACTAAAATCCCTGTTGTATCCCTGGTGTAGAGCTCTCCCATTGTTGTGTTTTCATCCCAGACTTACAGATTCCAGACCCAGTTAATGAACTGAAATTAAACCTTTCCACGTGGCACTGGCTGAGCCTTAATGTCCCTCCCCACCCAAACCCTTCCATGATTCCTGGGAGCTTTCAGTTTCTGTGGTTATTCACTTTTCCTTTGTAATTCTTCAGAGCTGCTCACTGAATTTCGTTGTTCCTGAGGTTTTTGCAGCTCTTTTTCCCCTGGGTGTCACACAGGGAGCTGCTGCACAAAAGTTTCACCTTCACTTTAGAGATGAAGCAAAGTCATTCTGTGTTGTTATTTTTTTCCTTTTGTGATGAGTTCAGGGATTTATTTTCACTTGCACATTTGAGCATTTGGATTTGTGGAGTAGAAGAGGCTCAGGGGGTCCTTCTCACTCTCTAGGAGGGTGAGACACTTCCTGCAAATCTTCACTTTTCAGACTCTTAGAGCATGGCTTTGTTTAAAGACTCACAGAACTCCCTGAAATTGCCTGTGGTCAATGGAATCAGAGAAATTAAAAATAAATCCCTTTCAGAAACACCTCCCCAGTGCTTTCCTACAACATTTATGGGCCTGGAGTAGAGTTGGATTTGTAAGGACGAGGTACAAAAGCTCCAAACCAGAGCAGCTCATCTATGAACCAACAAGATTTTTAATCAAATTCTAATTTTCTTTTTTTTTTGTGTGTTCTAGGTAAATCAGGAAGTTGCTAATAGGGAAACCAATACTTTGCCATTCCACCCATTTGAAAATCAACAAGTAAGTCCCCTACATCCTGGTGTACATTTCTCATGAGGAAGGTTAAAGGAATGCTCAAAAACTGAATAGTCAAATGAAAGTTCTTCCAAAAAAATCAGGTTTTAACAGATATTTTGTATTTTGGGTTGTTTGGCTGTTGATGTTTTCTTGGAAACATCACCCAGCCTCACAAGGAAATGATTTTGAGCTTTGCTCTGATATTTGATATTTGTTCTGATTGTTTTATGTTGAGTTTGTGAGGGATCCCCAGGACCAAGGGGGAATTGAGAATCTGACTCCATGTTCTCAGAAGGCTGATATATATTATATTATATTATATTATATTATATTATATTATATTATATTATATTATATTATATTATATTATATTATATTATATTATATTATATTATATTATATTATATTATATTATATTATATTATATTATATTATATTATATTATATTATATTATATTATATTATATTATATTATATCATATTATATTATATTATATCATATCATATCATATCATATCATATCATATCATATCATATCATATCATATCATATATTTATTATATTATATTTATTATATTTTTATATTTATTATAGTATATTTATTATATTATATTTCGTATTTTTATCATATTTTATTATATTTTATATAATATATTATATGTTATATATTATATATTATATTATTATACTAAAACTGTACTAAAGGAAAAGGATACATCAGAAGGCTTAACAAGAATGATCATGAAAAACTCATGAGTGACTCCTCAGAGTCCAACACAGCTGATGGTGATTGGTCATTAATGAAAAACAATTCACATTAAACCAATCCAACAATCTCCAGACCACATTCCAAAACAGCAAAACAGAGAGAAGCAATCAGATAATTCTTGTTTTCATTTCTCTCTGAGGCTTCTCAGTGTCCCAGGAGAAGAAATCCTGGGAAGAAAATGTGACAGTGACAGTTTTATTCTGAGCTGTTCAGATGCTGAATGTTGGAGGTGTTTCCTCTCTCAAAACCTGGATTTCAATATTCCATTTGGGCACAGGGGCAGTTCAGAGGGTGTTCAGGGCAGGTCTGTGCCTGTGGCAGGAGATCACAGTGAGAAAGTGTCCCCTTGGCTCTGGTTTTTGTGCCTGCTTCCTTTGCAGGGCGACATTCTGCGTGCGGAGAAGGAGCACCAGGTGCTGCAGGAACAACTCAGAGAGGCACAGGAGAAGTTCAGGCAGTCTCAGAGCAGGAGCTTGGAGGAAATTGCTGCTCTGGAAGAGCTCCTGAGAAAAAGTATTGAAGAGACTGAGGTAAAGCTTTGCCCACGGTCAGGGCTGGGGAATCCCGGGGTCCCTGCAGTGTCCAAGTGTCCTCCCCTTCCCAGCCATTCCAGCATTCCCTGACTGGGGCTTTTTAACAGGAATTAGGAATTCATTTTGTAGATAAAATGTAGTTCTTCTAATTTTTTGGGGGAAGAGTACTTATGGGTGTTAGTCAAATTGAATTGTTTGGTTAAAATGGGTGAGAAATCAGAGGGATGTTTGTTCTTGTGTCTAAGTGTACTTGTACTATGAACTGCTTTACTGAGGTGTGTTATATTGTTTATTGTTGATATCTTTATATCTATTGTTGGTATGTTTATATCTATTGTTGATATGTTTACATCTATTATTGATATGTTTATATCTATTGTTGGTATGTTTATATCTATTATTGATATGTTTATATCTATTGTTGATATGTTTATATCTATTTTTGGTATGTTTTTGTCCTCCTCACCCCAGCCATTCCAGCAGTCCCTGACTGATCCCTGATTTGGGATTTTTAACAGCAATTATCAATTTATTCTGTAGATATAAGGTAGTTCTTCTAATTCTTGGGAGAGTACTTATGGCTGTTAGCAAATCTGAATTGTTTGGTAAAAATGTGTGAGAAATCAGAGTGATGGTTTTGTGTTTTGTATAGTTGTAGCATGAACTGCTTTACCAAGGTGTGTTATATTGTTTATTGTTGATATGTTTAAATCTATTGTTGATATGTTTATATTTATTGTTGATATGTTTATATCTATTGTTGATATGTTTATATCTATTATTGATATGTTTATATCTATTTCTATCTATTTTTGGTATGTTTTTGTCCTCCTCACCCCAGCCATTCCAGCATTCCCTGACTGATCCCTGATTTGGGATTTTCAACAGCAATTATCAATTTATTCTGTAGATAATAATATCCCTGATCCCTGATTTAGGATTTGTAACAGTAATTAGGAGTTTATTTTGTATAGATATAAGGTATCTAAGGTATTTTGTATAGATATAAGGTAGTTCTTCTAATTCTTGGGCGAGTACTTATGGCTGTTAGCAAATCTGAATTGTTTGGTAGAAATGTGTGAGAAATCAGAGTGATGGTTTTGTGTTTTGTACAGTTGTAACATGAACTGTTTTACCGAGGTGTGTTATATTGTTTATTTTTGATCTGTTTATATCTATTATTGATATGTTTATATCTATTTTGATATATTTATATCTATTGTTGATATGTTTATATCTAATTTTGGTATGTTTATCTCTATTGCTGATATGTTTTTGTCCTCCTCACCCCAGCCATTCCAGCAGTCCCTGACTGATCCCTGATTTGGGATTTTTAACAGCAATTATCAATTTATTCTGTAGATAAAAATTAATATCCCTGATCCCTGATTTAGGATTTGTAACAGTAATTAGGAATTTATTTTGTATAGATATAAAGTATCTAAGGTATTTTGTATAGATATAAGGTAGTTCTTCTAATTCTAATTCTTCTAATTCTTCTAAATTAATTAGTTTAATTCTTCTAATTAAACTAATTCTTCTAGTTCTTCTAATTTGAATTGTTTGGTTAAAATGGGTGAGAAATCAGAGTGATGTTTGTTTTTGTCTTTTCTGTACTTGTAATATGAAACTGTTTTACTCAGATGTGTTGTTTACTATTGATATTTTTTATCTAAAGGATATTAAGTCTTGGCTTAAAACCCTTAAAAGGTATTTTTAATCTGTATCTTGTTTATTTATATTTATTGGCAATGCAATATCAGGAGTTACTGTTGGTTTGGGTTGAGTTCCTATGGGAGTATTTTAAGTTAGAGGCAAATATCCTCAGTCTGCTCCCAGTTTTATCTGAATGAGCCACAGTTTCCAGAGCTGAAGTTTTCCTTTCTGCCCTCAGGTGTCCCAGAATGAGCTGCATTGGTTCCACCAGGACTCGGAAGCACAAATGAAGAAATGGCAGCAGGAGAAGAAGGAAAACCGGGAGAATCTGAAAGCGCTGAGGGGCACGGCTAAAAAGCACTCGGAGAGCAATGAGAGGTAGGGCTGGGAGCACATTCACCCCCCTTTCCTGGCAGCCTGGAGGGCTCAGAGCTCCCCAGGGAAATGGGGTCCTTGGCTGTGGAACCTGCCAGGCATTGCCTGCCTCTGTCAGGCTGGAATGGGGACACGGCCGCTTCCTTACTGGGAAGTTTTGGGAAACTGCAGGTAAACGTCTAAATCAGCTTTTGGGTAACTGATGGAACTGATTCAGCAGTAATTCTCCTCATCAGATTTGACAATTCCTGCTGTATTTTAATGTCCTCTCTCAGTTTATAGAGCCCTGACTTTGGTCCTTGAATGCCTTTGTTTTATCTTTGTTTTATCTTACTTTAATGTTTTCTCTTAAATAGTTTGGGCCAAACCTCTCCTGCAAAATCATCAGCCTGGTTTTATCCTAATCACTGCTTTATTAGCAATAAATTGAAATGTATTTAGAATAGAATCCATTTAAATGTATTTAGAATAGAATTTAGATTAGTTTGGGTTGGGATGGACCTTAAAAACCATTTATTTCCACTCCTCCCACTGTCCCAGGGGCACTGCCAGGGCTGGGAATTCCATAATTCCTCAGGGATTGAACAGGATCTAAACCCTACAGATTGTTATAGAGGAGCAGGTCCCAAATTTGCCAATAAACCTTTTCCACAATAAACTCAGCCAATGTTTCATTCCTGTAGGTATTTGAAGGCCATTGATGAGAAGCAAAAGCAATATAATGCAAGTTTAAATACATTTCTGGAGACCAGGTAAAACTCATGTCCCTTCCAGCAATATTTCCATTTTTCTGCCTCACTTTGGGAAAGGCTTAGGGGGAAATCAGCACTTTAACCCAAATTTCTTCCTCTTAGTTTGCTTTTACTTGCCAGGGGTAAATATTAATATTTAGAACAAATAAAATCATACTCTCATACATTTCCCTTGATTACATGACACTGAGTAGCTATAAAAAAACCCCTAAAATAGCATAAATTTTAAATGCTGCTTTGCTGTGAGTGTTACTCAAATATTTCATTTCTTTTCCTTCCACAGTAATAAATTTGCCAGTGAGAAAGGCAAATTGGAAGAGCTGATCAAAAAAAGTCAAGATGACATCCAGGAGTGTGAGAAAAGAGCTGTTAAAGCAGAGGTACCAAAAAACCCAAAAATATCCTTAAAAAACCCTTTTATTTACAGCTGGGGTTGTGCTGATTGCAGGTGGGGAAATGATATCAAAGATTTGGGTTAAATATTGGAAATGCCAGGGGTGGGAATTCCACTTGAAAACTCCTCAGTGCAGGAACTCTTGTTTAAATTCTTATTAAAACCTGGTTTAAGGCTTTATCCCTTTTTTCTTGGTTTTTTTTTTTTTTAACTTGGTCTTGGTGGGGGTTTTTTGGTGGTTTTTCTGGGTTTTTTGGTGGGGGTTTTTTGGTGGTTTTTTTTTGTTTTTGTTGTTTTTTTTGTTTTTTTGGTTTTTTTTTTTTTTTGTTTTGGTTTTTTTGGGGTTTTTTTTTTTTGTTCGTTTTTGGGGGGTTGGGGGTTTTTTCTGTTTTGTTCTTTGGGGTTTTTTTTTTTTGGTTTTGGGGTTTTTTTTGGTTTTTTGTTTTGTTTTCTGTTTGATTTTTGGGGTTTTTTCTGTTTTGTTTTTTGGGGTTTTTTTTGTTTGTTTGTTTTGGGGTTTTTTTGGTTTTTGTTTTGTTTTCTGTTTGGGTTTTTTGGGATTTTTTTTGTTTGGTTTTTTGTGGTTTTTTTTGTTTGGTTTTGGTTTTTTGGGTTTTTTTTTTGTTTGTTTGTTTTTGGGGGGTTGGGGTTTTTTTTCTGTTTTGTTTTTTGGGTTTTTTTTTTGGTTTTGGGTGTATTTTTGGTTTTTTGTTTTGTTTTCTGTTTGATTTTTGGGGTTTTTTCTGTTTTGTTTTTTGGGGTTTTTTTGTTTGTTTGTTTTTGGGGGGTTGGGGTTTTTTTCTGTTTTGTTCTTTGGGGTTTTTTTGTTTTTGGTGGGTTTTTTTTGTTTTTTGTTTTGTTTTCTGTTTGATTTTTGGGTTTTTTTCTGTTTTGTTTTTTGGGGTTTTTTTTGTTTGTTTTGGGGTTTTTTTGGTTTTTGTTTTCTGTTTGGGTTTTTTTGGGATTTTTTTTGTTTGGTTTTTTGTGGTTTTTTTTGTTTGGTTTTGGTTTTTTGGGTTTTTTTTTTTTTGTTTGTTTGTTTGTTTTTGGGGGGTTGGGGTTTTTTTTCTGTTTTGTTTTTTGGGTTTTTTTTTTTGGTTTTGGGGTTTTTTTTGTTTTTTGTTTTGTTTTCTGTTTGATTTTTTGGGGTTTTTTCTGTTTTGTTTTTTGGGGTTTTTTTTGTTTGTTTGTTTTGGGGTTTTTTTGGTCTTTGTTTTCTGTTTGGGTTTTTTGGGGTTTTTTTTTGTTTGGTTTTGGTTTTTTGGGGTTTTTTTTTTGTTTGTTTGTTTGTTTTTGGGGGGTTGGGGTTTTTTTTTTGTTTTGTTTTTTGGGTTTTTTTTTGGTTTTGTTCTTTTTTTTGTTTTTTGTTTTGATTTCTGTTTGATTTTTTGTTTTTTTTTCTGTTTTGTTTTTTGGGGTTTTTTTTGTTTGGTTTGGTTTTTTGGGGGGGTTTTTTTCTTTGTTTTTGGGGGGGTTGGGGTTTTTTTCTGTTTTGTTCTTTGGGGTTTTTTTTGTTTTGTTTTGTTTTTGTGTTTTGTTTTGTTTTCTGTTTGATTTTTTGGTTTTATTTCTGTTTTGTTTTTTTGGGTTTTTTTTTTTTTTTGTTTTTGGGGTGTTTTTTTTGTTTTTTGGTTTGGTTTTTTGGGGGTTTTTTTGGTTTGGTTTTTTGTGGTTTTTTTTTTTTTTGATTTTTTGGTTTTTTTGGCTTTTTGTTTGTTTGTTTGGTTTGTTTTGCTTGTTAGTTTAGTTTAGTTTATTTTTCTCCTTTTTGTGCCAGGTGTCAGTGCTGCAGAGCTGGAAGGAAACAGAGAGCTGGAAGCTCAGAGGGGCCCTGGCCAAGGCAGAGGGGAACCTGCGGGTGCTGAGGACACTGGGCAGGTACTGGGAGCTGCCCCTGGGACCCTCTGCTCCTGCTCGGGGACCATTCACTGCACCACCTGTGTTCTATTGGATGGGATCATGGGGTTACATTCAATAGACAGCATTTATGTGAAATAGAACAATATTCATCATAGTGGGAGGAGTGTAAGAGTGCACAGACCCTCTGCTCCTGCTTGGGGACCATTCACTGCACCACGTGTGTTCTGTGTGTGGGATCATGGGGTTACATTGAATAGACAGCATCTATGTGGGATAGAACAATAATTATAGTGGGAGCAGGATAAGGGTGCACAGACCCTCTGCTCCTGCTTGGGGACCATTCACTGCACCACGTGTGTTCTGTGTGTGGGATCATGGGGTTCCATTGAATAGACAGCATTTATGTGAAATAGAACAGTATTCATAATAATGGGAGGAGTATAAGAGTGCACAGACCCTCTGCTCCTGCTCGGGAACCATTCACTGCACCACGTGTGTTTTATTTATGGGATCATGGGGTTACATTGAATATACAGCATTTATGTGGGATAGAGCAATATTCATCATAGTGGGAGCAGGATAAGAGTGCACAGACCCTCTGCTCCTGCTCGGGGACCATTCACTGCACCACGTGTGTTCTATTGTATGGGATCATGGGGTTACATGGAATAGACAGCATTTATGTGGGATAGAACAGTATTCATAATAATGGGAGGAGGATAAGAGTGCACAGAGTTGGGGGTAAATAATATTGTCCCAAAGAAAATTCAGCTGCAAATTGAGTCTCATCCTTATCCTTGTGTCTTTCTGAGCTGGGAAAATCAGATTATCTGGGTAATAACAATAACAACAATAATAACAATAACAACAACAACGATAACAATAATAATAATAATAATAATAATAATAATAATAATAATAATAATAATAATAATAATAATAATAATAATAATAATAATAATAATAATAATAATTCCAGTTATTCCTGCCAAGCACCCCTGGAAAAGGGCTGCAGTGTAATTGATTTTAACCTGAAATTCCTTGAACACTTGAACTGGGATTAATTGTTAATTATTTACTATATAGTATTTATTTTATATTCTATTATTATATCAACTGTAGTTTTTATTTTATGTAGTTGTAGTGGATATATAGTACTTATATGAAATATAATACTAATACTACTACTACTAATAATAATAAGTGCACAGAGCTGGGGGTAAATAATGCCCCAAACAAAATTCAGCTGCAAATTGAGTCTCATCCTTGTCCTTGTGTCTTTCTGAGCTGGGAAAATCAGATTATCTGGGTAGTAATAATAATAATAATAATAATAATATCAATAATAATAATATCAATAATAATAATATCAATAATATCAATAATATCAGTAATTCCTGCCCAGCACCCCTGGAAAAGGGCTGCAGTGTAACAGATTTTAACCTGAAATCCCTTGGACACTTGAACTGGGATTTATTGTTGAGGGAGGAACTGGTCTTGCACTCCAACATTCCCATTATTTTTAACTGTGACTCCTCAATATTCCAGCAGCTCAGCTTCTGCACCTCCTGTGTTGAAGTCCCAGATTGATTCCTGGGAAATATTTATTTCAGATGTCAAGAAACAATTGGAAAAAGTCGAGGTAAAACTTCATTTCTGTCCCCCAGCTTCTGGGTTGCACTTTGGAAATGAAAGCATTCGATGACTTTGGTTTTTAGCACACCAGCAGCTGGTCCTCCACGTGCTGAGGGGAATTTTTCCAATTACAAAAGAAAGATGCAGTGTGGAGTCAGGCTGATAATTTCTAGTGGATATATTAATTTTTTTAAAGGCACAATCTGCCCTTTGTACACTTGCTGCAAAATTTGGTCTCCAAATGCAGTGGTTTTGGTTTGTTAATCTGAGATTTTACAAATTTTAATATTTTATTTAATTTTAAATTAAAAATTTTAATTTCATTTTAATTTAATTTCAATTTAAGATTTTTTCATCACTTCCCTAGATTTCCTCCTATTCCAAACCACTACACCACATTAAAAAGTGTATTATTTTTGGTGGTGACCTTTCAAACTCTGTGGAACTTCTTAAAAATAAATAAAATACAATAACCAGGGAGAAGCTGAGTGTAGACTGTGCTTTTTGCTGGGGAGGGAGCTCAGTGCAGGGCTGATGGTTGTTGTTCCTCCTGCAGGCTGAGTATGAAGAGAAGATTGAGCAGGTGGAGCGAGGGGCCCGGGGCTGCCTCAGCAGAGTGGAAGTCGTGGATTTGCCTTGGCCCCAGGGCTTTGCTGTGAGTGCCCCCCTGGCATTCCCCTGCTCTGGGAGGGCTCTGGGGCTGCTCTGGGACACTCCAGGCTGGCCCTGGACACTCCAGGCTGGCCCTGGACACTCCAGGCTGGCCCTGCAGCCTCCAGAGAGCAGGAGATGGAGCTGGGGAGCTCAGGGAGCAGCAAATTCCCAGCACATTCCTGGAGAGGCTCCAGCTGCCCAAAGCTGGCAGGGACTCCCTGATGGTTTTGTTCATTGGAGGCTTCCTGCAGCTCCAGAATCCTGCAATTCCAGCATGGTTTGGCTTGGAGGGGACCTTCAAACACCCACTGCCAGCCCTGACACCTCCCACTGTCCCAGGCTGCTCCAGTGTCCCCAGTGTCCAACCTGGCCTTGGGCACTGCCAGGGATCCAGGGATGGAATTCCATGCCAGCCCTGCCCACCCTGCCAGGGAACAATTCCTCATTGCCAAGATCCCACCCAGCCCTGCCCTCCTCCAGGTCAAGGCCATTCCCTGGGTGCTGTCACTCCATCCCTTGTCCCCAGTATGTCCCCAGCTCTCCTGGAGCCTCTTTAGGCACTGAAGGGCCTCTCTGGAGCCCTCTCCAGGTTGAACAGCCCCAAAATCCTTGGGATGAGCCCCATTGTGCAGAATCCCAGATCCCTGGGGCTGGCCCAGCCCTGCCAGCCCATGCAGTGCCAGCTGTGCCCCATGGGCACCTTGTCCCCAGCCCAGAGCACTCAGTGCCACCTGCAGGGGACACCTGCAGGGCTGGGCACTGCAAAGCTCCCTGGGCAGCCCCTGCCAAGGCCTGAGCTCCCTTGCCATGGGGAGCTTTCCCAAAGGAATTCCTGCAGCTCTTGTGCCACTGATTGCAGACACCAAGCTCAGCTCCCAGCCAGGTGTGGCAGCAGGAGCAGGAGCTGAGCCATTTCTGGGAATGCACCTGGAATGAGCACAGCCCCAGAAATTCCATCCACAGACCAACAGCTCCTCCTCCAGCTTCCTTCAAACCAAAGCAGTTTCTTGTCACCCCTCTAATTGCTCCTTTTTAAGTTGGTTTTTTTTTCCTCTCTGTGGAAAATCTTGGTTTGTGATTTGTTGTTTGTTTGCCTTTTTTTTTTTTGGTCTGGGTGTAATTTAGATTCCAGGCTCTGGTCTAATCTTTGAGATGGTTATTTCACTTTTTCTGGGATTCTGCAAGTTCCACTCCTGCTCTCCTGCATGATTCCCCACTTATTTTTAGGTCTGTCCTTTCTATTTATTGACACAAAATATGAAGACAACTTAATCACCACCAATTTTCTGGGAAAGAGCAACTTTTGTGCCTCTTGTTCTGCATTTGGAATTTATTTTTTCTGCAGTAAGACCAGATTGCCCCTTTAGAAGAGCAATAACCATGAGATCAAACAACTGCCCTGATGCCAGGGAGTTTTTGAGATAAGCTGGTGTCACCTTTGAGATCCTGGGCACGGCCAAACCTGCCCCAATTCCCACTGCAAATGCTGAATCTGTTTTAATCACTGTTTCCTGTGAAATGTGTTTGTTTCCTAGACAATGCCAGGCAGAGCTCCAGTGTGTGACCCTGCCATTGTCACCTATTCCTCAGCACCTGCACTCCCCTGTGCCCTCCCTGCATTTTCCAGCTCCGATGGAAAAGCTCCAGCCCAGCCTCCTCTGCAAGCACAGACCGGAGCCAAGGCAGCCCCTGCCACCTCTGAGGCTTCTCCTGCACCTGGGAAAGCACAGCCCAAAGCTCCAGAGGGGTCACATTCCACTAAAGTCTCACCCTCCTGCCCATCAGGCACTTCTGGAAGTAACTCCCAGCATGTCCAGCCCAACCAGACCCACCAGGATCCCTCAGCTCTGCAGCCGAGGCCTTCCAGAATTCCAACAAACAAAAAGCTTCCAAAAAGAATTGAAAATGTTTTAGCCCAGCTCCAGAGTATCTTCCCAAACTGCAGCAGGTACTGGGTGGGAGGAGTGCTGTGAAACAAGGGCTCAGCAGCCAGGGATGAAGGGCAGCAAGAACTGATTTTGTTCTGCTGACAAGGGATGGAGTGACAGGACAAGGGGAATGGTTTAAACTGCCACAGGGCAGGGCTGGAGGGGACCTTGGGAATTGTTCCCTGGCAGGGTGGGCAGGGCTGGCATGGAATTCCAGCCCTGGATCTCTGGCAGTGCCCAAGGCCAGGCTGGACACTGGGAGGTGTCCCTGCCATGGCAGGGGTGGCATGGGATGAGCTTTCAGGTCTTTCCCATTCCATAATCGTGGTGGTTGTTCAGGGTTTCATCCTGGATCCCGAGGGTCACTGGGAGCAGATCCTTGGGGAAGCTGCTGCCTTTGATCCTGCAGTGCTCTCCAGGGCCCCCCTGACCCTGCCTCTCCTGTCCCTGCAGCTCAGAGCTCATGGGCTCCATCGTGAAGGTGCAGAGGAGGAACGGGAGCAGCCTGAGCCCCGATGAAATCCTCAGCAGGGCCACGGATCTGATCCTGGACCAGCAGCTCAAGGTACTGGGGCTGCAGCTGCTCCTGCTCCTGCCGTGGGAGATGGGGCAGCCCAGCCCCAGAACACAGCTCCTTTCTGCTCTGTGCAGGCCCCTCCAGCAGGCAGAGCCCTGCATTCCCCAGGCCCTGCTCCCCCAGCACGGGCCAGGGAAGCGCCCATGGATGGAATCGCCCCCAACACCTCCAGCAGTAAAAACCCCTCCCAGCCGAACCTGCAGCCCTGGGGCAAGGCTGGAGCTGCACCTAAAGCCAGATGGAGGAAGCAGGACAGTGCTGTAAGTTTGCTGCTTCAGTGCAGTTGTTTCCATGTGCTTTGTACAAGACACAAAATAATCCTGGAAAAAAAAAATACCTCGTTTATTTTGTGTACAAAAGCTTCAATAGACCTGGCTAAAGTTAATGACCTTGTTAATAGAGTAGAACGTGCTGGTTAATTGCTGATTTTGAAATATCTGAGTGTTCCTGTTGTGGCCAGGCCTGCAGTGAGGATCCCTGCAGCATCTGTCACGATGAGCTGAGCAGAGACTGCTGTGAGCTCGAGTGTGGCCATCGCTTCCACAGAGAGGTGAGCTCTGCTCCTGTTCCTCATCTGCACCTCAGACACAACCCCACTGCCTCCCCTTACCCTTCAACAACAAGGGCACAGTCCCCTTCTCCAGCCTTTGCCCCCAGACTGGAGCACAAGCAGCCTGGCAGAAAGCTTTAGGTGTTCTTAAAATAAAATGATTCATCAGAGTGGATTTCTGATGATGCTTCAGAGAATGGGTTTGGTTGGGATTGCTGGCAGCACACTCAGGGAATGGGTTATCCCTGAAAACTCTGTATTTGCCTCCTGCTAGTGGAAACCCATGAAGTAAAAAGCCAGGATTGTGTTGGAATAACTCCACATTTCCCCCTTGACCGTTTTAATGCTGATTTAATCAATCTGATCAGCGTGGGAGCACAGTTCCACACCACTGAGATCTGGGGCTGTGGAGCTCACTGAAGAGCTTCCCCAGCAGTGCCAATCGCTGCCAGCCTCCAGCTGGAACATTGGAGCTGGTTCCCTGTTCCCTGTCGGTTCCCTGTTCCCGTTGTGTCTGACCTGTCCCTGTCCCTGTCCCCGCAGTGCATCCGGACGTGGCTCAAGCAGCATTCCAGCACCTGCCCCATGTGCCGGGTCCATGCTCTGCTGCCCGAGGACTTCCCGGAGCTTCCTGCCTGGAACAAGCCCAGCTGAGCCCGCTCTCCTCTGCTCTCCTCTGCTCTCCTCTGCTCTGCTCTGCTCTCCTCCTCTCTCCTCTGCTCTCCTGCTCTCCTCCTCTCTCCTCCTGCTCTGCTCTCCTCCTCTCTCCTCCTCTCTCCTCCTGCTCTGCTCTCCTGCTCTCCTCTGCTCTCCTCTGCTCTCCTCCTCTCTCCTCCTCTCTGCTCTGCTCTCCTCTGCCCTCCCTCCCTGCAGAACTGGAGCTGTCAGGGGCTGGAGCCCGAGCCAGCGCTGGGGGACGGGGCAGACCCCTGGGTTCACTGGCCATGGGAACAGCTTTGGGGTTTCACTCCAAGATCCAGGATTTCTCCTGGCTCCTGCCTGAAGCTGTGCACTCCTGGGCTGGCAGCACACAAAACTGCTGCATTTGTGGCTAAGGGACACTGAAAGTACCAAATTTTTGTTACCAGTGCATAATTCCTGTGAAGAGAGGGGGCTTTTCCCTCAGATTTATTGCAATATCAAAACAAGTAGGTGACCCAAAGGATGGACCAAGAGAGTTGGAAATCAAAACATTCCCTGCCTCTGGCATGGACAGTCCAGGATTCAAGCCTGGTGTGGTCTTTGCAGCTCCTCTCTCTGCATAAATCTACAGCTGAGAATTCAAATTGTTTAAATAAGGACTTTTAGTCACATTTTGAAGCAAGAATTTTAAATTCTTCATTTGGATCCATTTTTAAATCTCAAAATAAGGTTGAAATTTGAATTTCCCTCCTTGCTGAAGAGCTGGTCTGTTTAACTGGGAAGGATTTTTTAAAAGGATTTTAAAAGGTTTTTAAGCCACACTTCCTCTGTATTTTGTGCAGGGATGGTCACCAGTAGCAGGAGGGGCAGAATTCCAACAGCTCAGGGGATTTTCTCCCACTGTTTTCTGAGTCTGAAAACTTTTAACACAGACAAATTTGTCCCAAACAGCCAAAGGTGAGGACCAGAGCCTGAGAATCTTGAAATTAAACCCAATATTCTGAATCCAGGGAGCATCACATGGATGAGGAGCTCTTGGCTAATTCCAGGGCTCACTTGTTCCCCACACTGCTTGGCCTCCTCCAGCTGAAGTTTTTAACTCCTCTCTCATTCATCAGTCTATTAATTACCACTGGAATAAACAATAAAATTGCTTCTGCAGCCAACCATGTTGTTTCTGTGTAGTATTTCTGCTCACTCTGAGTTAGGGCTGAGTAACTACTCTGCTGTAGCATTAAGGCCTCAGATTCCAGCACTGGAATCCCTTTCAGCTTCCTGTATTTTGGGGGGCCTCAGCTCTTCCCCAAACCCCCCTGGTCTCAGGCAGAAGTGCTGAGTTGCAGTAAATGCCATTTTCCTCCCCCTTCCCAGACACTGAAATGAAATTTTCAGCTTTTTCTTCCTAAAACAGCAGGGCCCAAGCTGGAATTACATTCTCCTGCTTGGCACTGCTGCTGGACAAACCAAAGGAAATGATTTTTCTTAATTGTGCATTTTTAGGTGCTGATCTTTACACTTCCAATGTCCATCATGGAGCCTGAGCCTGCCTCTGCCCCACATGGAAAATGAATGGAAAATCCACAAGTTGTGGCTGTTCCATGAAAACAACATGGAAAGCCACAGCCTGTTTGTGCTGGGAAGGTTATTTCTTACTGAATTAATCTTTCTTTAGGCTGTACAGTCACAAACACATTAATTAATTCATCCAATTAATTCCTCCTGGTCCCAGTTTGACCTAAATTTCCTTGGTGTGATTTGAAATCACTCATTTCCCATCCACCTTGGGCCAGATCCCACAGCACCCCCTTCCAGAGTTGCAGCACCATTTTTTAGACCTTCAAAGTCCTTATTTCTCATTCTGTCACAATTCCCATACCCTCCCAGGGTGGCTGGAATGGGATTTATGAGTTTTAAGGGGTCTTCGAAGGACTTTGGAACAAATATTACAAAATTAAACCGAGAGAGGAACTTGCTACAAGCTGTAGAAAGCTACAGAATGATTCCTTCAGGTTCTGCCTGAGAAAAGTTGGGAAAAACACAATTGTTGAAGGCAGCAGGATTGGGAAATGCAGAGAGGCAAAGTCTTGGCCAGGTTAACAGGGAAGTGGAAGCACAAGAAGGGCCCACAGGAGGAAGGGAGTGAGGTGGCTCCAGCTGAAGTCAGGCATGGATAAAGTTCCACTTTCCCTCTGAGGAATTCCCAGAAAATCCTTCCCTGCTCCTCCTGTGGATGTTCACATCCTGCAGAGCTTCAGGGGGAAGTTCTCTGTGATGAGATGGTCGTCCTGCAGGAGCACCACAATGTTCACCTCAAACTCTGGGAGAGGGGAAAAAGAGAGAGAATTCCATGGGAAACTGAATAATATCAGCAATCCTGCTTCAGTTCCATGGGAAACTGAATTATATCAGCAATCCTGCTTCAGTTCCATGGGAAACTAAATCCTAGCAGCAATCCTGCTTCAATTCCACGGGAAACTGAATAATATCAGCAATCCTGCTTCAATTCCATGGGAAACTGAATAATATCAGCAATCCTGCTTCAATTCCACAGGAAAACTGAATAATAGCAGCAATCCTGCTTCAGTTCCATGGGAAACTGAATTATATCAGCAATCCTGCTTCAGTTCCATGGGAAACTAAATCCTAGCAGCAATCCTGCTTCAATTCCATGGGAAAGCTGAATAATATCAGCAATCCTGCTTCAATTCCAAAGGAAAGCTGAATCCTAGGAACAATCCTGCTACAATTCCACAGGAAACTGAATCCTAGCAGCAATCCTGCTTCAGTTCCATGGGAAACTGAGTAATATCAGCAATCCTGCTTCAATTCCACAAGAAACTGAATGATATCAGCAATCCTGCTTCAATTCCACAGGAAAGCTCAATCCCAGCAGCAATCCTGCTTGAACGCCATAGAAAAGCTGAATCCTAGCAGCAATCTTGCTTTAATTCCACAGGAAAGGTGAATCCTAGCAGCAATCCTGCTTCAATTCCACAGGAAACTGAATCCTAGCAGCAATCTTGCTTTAATTCCACAGGAAAGGTGAATCTTAGGAACAATCCTACCTCAATTCCACAGGAAAGCTCAATCCTGGGAACAATCCTGCTTCAATTCCAAAGGAAAGCTCAATCCTAGCAGCAATCCTGCTTCAATTCCACAGAAAGCTGAATCCTAGCAGCAACCCTGCTTCAATTCCACAGGAAAGGTGAATCCTAGGAACAATCCTGCCTCAATTCCATAGGAAAGCTCAATCCTGGGAACAATCCTGCCTCAATTCCACAGGAAAGCTCAATCCTGGGAACAATCCTGCCTCAATTCCACAGAAAAGCTGAATCCTGGGAACAATCCTGCTACAATTCCACAAGAAACTGAATCCTAGCAGCAATCCTACCTCAATTCCATAGGAAAGCTGAATCCCAGCAGCAATCCTACTTGAACTCCATAGAAAAGCTGAATCCTAGCAGCAATCCTACCTCAATTCCATAGGAAAGCTCAGTCCTAGGAACAATCCTGCCTCAATTCCACAGGAAAGCTCAATCCTAGCAGCAGGATGAGGCAGGAGCTCCTGAAAGATTCCACCAGAACCTCACCCAGGCATGCCAGCCCTGGGACCATGACTAGAAAATCCTGCTTTGTTGTAATCTTTGGGATTCCTCTGGATTGTTTTATAGCTGATAAATTATGGCAAACAATCCTCTGGAAAAGAAGATCCAGACATGAAAGAATAAAATGTTTTGGGAAAAACACCTCCACCAGGATGGTGTTTAAAGCATGGAATGGGAGAATTCCAGGACAGCCCCATTGCCTGTTTCCAGCATGTAACAGCCTTGGGAAATGAAATACTGGAATACAACAGGCCTGCAAACTGGGGAGCAAAAATTCCAAAAGAAAATATAATCTGCTCTTTGTGTCCTTCAAAGCCAAAAATCAGTATCAGATCAAAAATCAATCCTAAATAGAGACAGAACAAAAAGCCAGGCAGAGTTAATAAATGAAGGGAAGCAGAAATCAAAATAAATTCAAATTCTCATTGGAAATTGCTAGTGAAGAGCTTAAAATGGCAAAACCAAATTATTATTTTGGGGAAAACCACTGCACACATTCTGTGCCAACAGATTCCAGCAGGATGGAGGGAAGAAATACAAACCAGCCAAGTGGATTCTTGGAGTACTTATTTGAACAAGTGAGGAAAATACTCAATTTTTGTTAATTAAGGATTGATGGATTGATCCTTGGTTTTGTTGATAAAAACACTGGATTTTGACAGCAATCAGCAGGGCCCAGCACATGGTGTAGGTGAGAGAATCACACCCTGACCAAGCTTGTTCCTTCCAGGGCTTTCAGCAGGAGAGAGGCAAACAAAAAGGAGAAGAAATGGAAGGGGGGGTTCTCACTGGTAAGGAAAAGAGGGAATTTCATTCTGGGACTGTTCCTCAAGTGTTTAATGGCATGACCTGTATTCCACTGCTCCTCCTGGAATTCTGCTAGCAGTTTGTGTTGGAAGTGCTTGGGCTGGGTTTTCTCAGTGTGAAATGCAGCAGGACTCGGGCTCGGGGATGTCCTGGGCTCCTCCTGCAGCTGCTGCTGGGTTTATCCCTCACTGCCCATGGAAAAGGAATGAACGTGGCCACTCCTCCCCCAGGAAAAGGCCTCCCCACTCACCCACTTTGAAGTTGGTCGTTTCCAGGGTGGGGCAGGTGAAGAGCCTGGGGAACACCATGTGGATGGGGATGGGCAGGCCCCTGCAGACGTCGCCGTCGGCGATCTGGATGTTCTGGATCTCCGTGGCATCCCTGGCATAGCCCTCAGCACACCCTGAAGGGGGAAAAGGGCAGAGGTGAGAGAAAGCAGCAGCCAAAATTCACAATGGAAATGTGCTGGAACCCTGGTTACTGAGAATGCCAGGCATTGACCCCCAAGAGAACACTGCACTGACCTGAGGCCATGGAGAAGCTTCCAAAATTCAATGATAAAACTGAGATTAAAGGTGTGGAGTTTGAATAGAAGTGTGTGATATCACAGGGTGGGAAACTCAGAGTTTAAGGGTTTAGAATACAGGAATAGAGAGAAAGCAAGATGGAGGTTTTGGGGTGGAGGCTGCTCCTTCTTCTTCACCTTCTTCTCCATGGGTTTGGGTGGTTTTGTGTCATTGGATAAAAAAGTCCCCATGGCAGACTTCAAGTGATCAGTTATTGGGTTAAAAGTAAAAATAATTTAAGTGTCATTTTTTAACTGCACAGTTTATCCTTACAAGACCTTGTACAGAAAGATGGTTAGCAATTTTGTACCTTGTTAATAGAATACTGCAGAACTCAGGGCTTTTGAGTCTGTGATATAGAGAAGAAATAATAAACACCTGAGTCTGAACATGAAACATTGTCTTGAGAGCTTCAATCCTGACCTTGACAGAGGCAGAAAAAAGAAGCCAAGAACCAGCAAAGATCCACCAGGATTAGAGGGGAAAAACACCCTGCAAGTTTTCACAGAGTAAAGGATCATGGAGATAATTTAAATTATATTTGGGCTTAAATTATATTTGTTCCTGCAAAGTGCAAACCCTACAAGGCCTCAGAGCTGTGGCCTTTCCTTCATGCTGGTCCCTGTTTCCCTGGGAAGGTGTCCCAGATTGCAAGGCAAGATGTGTTCTGTTCCCATCTGTCAGAGCTGGGGCAGTTCTCTGCTGTCCATGGGGCAGTTTTTTCTTTCTCTCTCCCACAGCCAATCCTCCCTGCAGGAGATCTCTGCTGTCCATGGCCACTGAGTGTCCCTGCAGGGCTGATCCAATCCCAGCATCCCATGGGGAGATGCTGCATTGCCCAGGGGAGGAGCCAAGCATTCCTACCTGGATCCAATCTGAGGTGCTGGCACAGCCCAGCAGCCTTTGCCCAGTGCATTGCCAGAGGAGCAGCAGCTGCCTCTTCTCCCACTGGATCTTCAGAGGCAGAGACTGCACCTTTCTCCAGGATCCCTGCTCCAGCAGAGCCACCCCTGGCACTGCAGGAGGGCTGAGCCACAATTCCAATGGTTCTGCTGCCACCCCCTGACCCACAGGGTGTCAGGCTGGGTTCTGACTCTGGCAGTGTTGGTTTGGGTTACTGCATTGTTCATTTTATGTCACTGCCATATTTGCTGAAAAATCCTCTGCCAGGATTTCTTCTCCTGGGAAGCTGAGAAGCCTCAGAGAGAAATGAAAACAAGAATTATCTGATTGCTTCTCCTGTGTTTGCTGCTTTGGAATGTGGCTGGAGATTGTTTACCAACTTGTCAGTGTTTGATTGGTTTCATGTGAATTGTTTTTACTTAATGACCAATCCCCATCAGCTGTGTCTGACTCTGAGGAGTCAGTCATGAGTTTTTATTATTCATTCTTGTGAAACTTTCTGTCTGTATCCTTTCTCTCTCTTTAATATAGTTTTAGTATAGCATTCTTTTCTATAATTTAATATCATAAAATAATATATCGACCTTCTGAGAACATGGAGTCAGATTCTCATCTCTCACCTCCTCCTGGGGACCCTCACAAACACCACAATTTTATTTTTATTTTCTTCCCTAATAAAGAACTGTTATTCCTGCTCCCATATCTTTACCCAAGAGCCCCGTAATTTCAAATTTATAACAATTCAGAGGGAGGGGGTTTCCATTTCCCATTTCAGGGGAGGCTCCTGCCCTTCCTTAGCTGACACCTGGCTGTCCAGAGCCAGTCAGAAGGGATGAGGGAGTTCCTGCAGGCTGGTGCCTGCCCAGGGGCTCACCACAGGTCTCCACACGCACGAGCTGCAGCTCGATGCTCTTGACGGCCGCCTCGGCGCTCTCCACCACCAGCTCCCCCGTCAGCGGCTGCGTGATCACACAGTTGGTGGAGTTCAGGTGCCCTCTGATCAGGAATTTGGGCAGGGAGGCTCTCTGAAATAGGTGGAGGAAAAAGATGGCACCGTGAAGAGCAGGTTAAGGAAAAAAAAAAAAATCATAAAACAAGTAGGGAATTAGTCAAAGGTTCCAAAGCTGAGAACGCGAGAGTTCGGAAATTCCTGATGGAGCTCAAATTGATTTCTGGCACTCTGTATCAGGGTTTCTCCTACAGTATTCTCTCTTGACATGTGTCCTTCCTGCTCCTCCATCCACCCATGGATGGGCATTTCCTGGGAAGAACTGACAGAACTTGCTGTAAGAATTCATCCAGGAGCTGGAGCCGTGTGGTGAGGGAGGAGGGGACACCTCCCACTGTCCCAGGCTGCTCCAGCCCCAGGGTCCAACCTTGGGCACTGCCAGGGATCCAGGGGCAGCCACAGCTGCTCTGGGAATTCCATCCCAGCCCTGCCCACCCTGCCAGGGAACAATTCCTAATTCCCAATATCCCACCTAAGCCTGCCCTGTAAAAAAGGCACAAGCAAGGCTCAAAATACATATTTTTAAAGGCTCTTGGCTGTCCATGTATAGAATGTTTTCCTTTGTTCCACTGCCATCCATCTTTCACTCAGGAAAGGAACAAAAATATTTAACCACTCCTGAGCAAAATTTCACCTTCAATGGTCACCACAATGCAAGAGATGAGACAGAATCACTTGATTGCTTATAAAAGTGAAAAGGAAAATGGAAAAATAAAACCAAGATAATCTGCCTGATCATCTACAAGGCAGAACTTAATCATGACTCTGGTCTCACTCAGAAACACTGAAACGTCACATTTAAAATAAAATAATAAGAAAATCCTTTTACCTCTTTAACATTTTGCAGAGTTTCAGGAGTAATGGTGAAGTCCACAGGGCTCGGCAGCAGCTTCCCTTTCTGTGACTGCAGGGAGTGGAAGGGTTAAACTGAAATCTGATCCCCAAAACAGAGAGAGAACATTAAACACAACAGCTGGCTGCCCTAAACCACCTGGAAAAGCAGGAATACCCTCCCCATCTGAAGCAGAGAGGAAAAAAGTTCAACTTCCCATTTCTGTATGTACAAATAAATTCATTGTCCATGTCCCATGGAAAGTTTCCTTTCATTATTAAATCTGGGGAGTGGAGATTCTAAATGAACTTGGGTCCATTGCTTCGAATCTGCTTTATAAATTCTTGTTCTCCACCAGCAAGGGGCTGATCTGGAACTCTGAGTGAGGATCTGCCCTCACTGCTCAAGAATTCAAAATAGCTGCTGCTGCCCAGCTGCAAGATGGAAGAGATTAGCAAAAGATTGGCTGCGTTTTCCCAAAATGACAAATTCTGGCACAGAGCAGGCTGAAGGGAAATGGTACATTGAGCACTGACAGTGAGAATGATCTGTTCAGTAAAACCTCATTAATTCACCCTGACTGAGAGATCCATGATTTACTGACTGCTGAGCTCAGAAGTGCTGCAGTGGGAACAAGAAAGGAACCCAGGAAAACTGCAGGAGATGTCATTTGTCACTCCTCTGACAGGTGTGGCTCACTCATAAATGTAATAATGGACCAATAAAATGTAGCATCAGACATTGCAGAAAATATTGAAATCTTACCAACAGGAAACTTGTTTGTAACACCAAACTACACCTTTTAAAAAGTTACTTTAGAAGTAAAATAACATTTCCACCACAAGCACACAAAGGATTTTGATATTTCCTGTCCTGTTCAGAGTTGAAAGCAATGACAGAAGCAGGGTGTCCCAGCAGGTCAGAGATGGAAAAAGGGACATTTCATCATTCTGGCCTGTCCTCACTGCTCTGGACAGCTCAGCTCAATTTAACCAACCCCAAATCCAACACAGGAACTTCTGCAAGAACCAGCCAAGCATTTTCTGCGAGTCCAACCTCCTCCCACAGGGATTAGGATTAGAAACAAGGATTAGAAATTCTAGAATTAGAAATTAGAACCAAGTTTTCCCTTGTTTCCCTTGTAGGGTGTCGGGCATTGGAATGAGCTGCTCAGGGAGGTGCTGGATGTGGGACATGGTTTGGGGTGAGGAGGGGACTGGGTCACCCTGAAGGTCTCTCCCCCACATTTCCATGATTTCCTGCAGGATGCAGAGCCAGCTGTGACAGTTTGGAGTCAGGGCTCTGAATGAGAACTCCTGAAGAACAGAAATCAGGGATTTTCACCACCCAACTCCCACTTCCAGCACTGGGGAAGCCTGGAAGCTTTGGCTGAGAACTGCTGGGATAACTCAAAGCAGTGTTTGGAAAAATGACATCATATTAATGTGGCCACCCCACTGTGCCAGAACTCCAAGGATGAACAGGAGAATAAACTCAGGGCACTGTAAAAACATCTGAAAATCCAACTCCTCTTGGTTCTTTGAGAGAGGGGTGGGTTTTTCTAATCACAAGCAACATCTTTGGGGTGGTTTTGTTTTGGGGCAGATTTCCTTTACTCCTACATTTTGGACAAAGGTCTCAGGCACAGGGTGGGATTTTGGGGTGTCCTGTGCAGGACCAGGAGTTGGGTTTGATGATTTTTGGGGTTTCTTCCAACTCAGGATATTCTGAATCTACGCTTCTGTAATCCCTATGTCACCATCACAATTTCCATAGGTATCCTTGGGGTTTTTTCCCCCTTAAAGTGAAGTGGGGAGAAAAAAAATCAATTAAAAACTTAATTAATTGCAAAATGAGCAGAAAGCACACTCACCAGGGAGTGGACAATGAACTCACAGGTCTTGGTCAGGTCCTTTGCCAGCAGGGAACGTCTCATGTCACAACGCAGGGTGTACTGGGGGAAAAAAGGGGAAAAAAGGGGGGAAAAAAGGGGGGAAAAAAGGGGGGGGAAAGGGGGGAAAAAAGGGGGGGAAAAAAGGGGGGGAAAAAAGGGGGGGGAAAAAAGGGGGGGGAAAAAAGGGGGGGGAAAAAAGGGGGGGGAAAAAAGGGGGGGGAAAAAAGGGGGGGGAAAAAGGGGGGGAAAAAAGGGGGGGGAAAAAGGGGGGGAAAAAAGGGGGGAAAAAAGGGGGGGGAAAAGGGGGGGGAAAAGGGGGGGGAAAAGGGGGGGGAAAAGGGGGGAAAAAGGGGGGAAAAAGGGGGGAAAAAGGGGGAAAAAAAGGGGGAAAAGGGGAAAAAAGGGGGAAAAAAGGGGGGGAAAAGGGGGGGAAAAAGGGGGGGAAAAGGGGGGAAAAAGGGGGGAAAAAGGGGGGAAAAAGGGGGGGAAAAGGGGGGAAAAAAGGGGGGAAAAAAGGGGGGAAAAAAGGGGGGGAAAAAAGGGGGGGAAAAAAGGGGGGGAAAAAAGGGGGGGAAAAAAGGGGGGGAAAAAAGGGGGGGAAAAAAGGGGGGGAAAAAAGGGGGGGAAAAAGGGGGGAAAAAGGGGGGAAAAAGGGGGGGAAAAAAGGGGGGGAAAAAAGGGGGGGAAAAAAGGGGGGGAAAAAGGGGGGAAAAAGGGGGGAAAAAGGGGGGAAAAAGGGGGAAAAAAGGGGAAAAAAGGGGGAAAAAAGGGGGAAAAAAGGGGGAAAAAAGGGGAAAAAGGGGAAAAAAAGGGGGAAAAAAGGGGAAAAAAGGGGGAAAAAGGGGGAAAAAGGGGGAAAAAGGGGGGAAAAAGGGGGGAAAAAGGGGGGAAAAAGGGGGGAAAAAGGGGGGAAAAAGGGGGGAAAAAGGGGGGAAAAAGGGGAAAAAAGGGGAAAAAAGGGGAAAAAAGGGGAAAAAAGGGGAAAAAAGGGGGGAAAAGGGGGGAAAAGGGGGGAAAAGGGGGGAAAAGGGGGAAAAAAGGGGAAAAAAAAAAAGCTTTAATTCAGATTTCCTCCCTCCTTCCCAACTTTTCACCCCCCTTCTGCCCCTGTGCAGTGCTGTTGCTGTTAAATGCACTTTAGGGTGATTTTTCAGCATTTTGGTTAAGGGATTATCAGTGTGATTTTTGCATTTTGTATTTTTGTCTTCAGCCCCTCTAATTTTGGTTTTCTTGTGGGATTGAATTCCCAGTTGTTGGGACATTTCATGGGGAACTTCAGCCACACAAATGAGCTCCGAGCAGCACCAAAATCAGACAAGAAAGTGAATTTGCTTAGTAAGAATTTGGTTATCCCAGAAATCCTAGACTTCATCTCCAACAAAGCCTCTCAGTGTCCTTACAGGACAGGGAACTTGTTGGGATGGGGTTTTTTTAATTTAATTTTGTTTGATTTTTAATTCCTCCCTCAGATCAGAGATTTGCATTCCTTACTTCTGCTTCATGGCCACAACCAGGCAGCAATGTCTGATTAAAGGTTAAACTGAGACTGAACCCACAATTCATCCCCAAATCAAGAGAGAGAGGCTCAATTAAACTGCCCAGAGGTTTAGGAAGTGTCACAATTCCCTCCTCAGGAGAGCAGGACTCTCAAAGTTTGGCTGAAATTTAAATCATTAAATTTTAATGGTATTTTACTCAAGAAAAGCTCCCCACAGGAGAGAAGGAATGACAAAATAAAACAAATATTCCTCATTAAAGTGCAGCTCAAACTGACTGATCACAGTGAGTTATTTGGGGTATGGGAAGCAACTCAGCCAGTGCTGCACCATTTTTAACTTCCCTACCACAAACAACAGCTGTTGCATGAGGGAAGAAGCCAAAACTGAGCAAATAAATGGAAAGATTTAAAAAACATCCAAACAGATAAAAAAAAAAAAAGGATTTTTTTCTTTTGGTTACTTCTGATAGGCTGCTGGGGGTGATTTGGTTTATTAGGTTGTTTTCTTCATTCCAGGGATATCAAACTTCATTGTCTAACACAGAATTTGCCTTCAAGAGATGGCTGGAAAAAGACTTTCTCCCTAAAAAACACCAAAAATCACCCAAACAACCCAACCCACCTACGGTAAGGCAAGTTTTAACCAAAAAAGATCAAATTTCAGAACTGCACTTCCACAAGAGTGTGTCCAAGCAGGTATTCCACCCAGATTTGGGTTTGGGCAGGGAATGTCACTCCTCCTCATCCCAAACAATTCCTGATCTGTGCTGCTCTCAACACCAACCACATGAAATTACTCATTTATGTGGAATACAACCACACTGGGGTGCTGTTTGTTTTTAGAAAGGGAATGGAAACAGTTTCCTACAATATCAGGATGGATCAAATTTAGGTTAGAGATGTTCTGCTGAGGTGTTTCAGGTAAAACATCTTGTGTGTGCCAGCATTCCTTAAAGATTTACTGCATAGAGGGTGGAAGGCTCAGTCAGTGTGAAAACCTCATCAAACTTCACCCTCAATTTCCATGGATCAAATTTAGGTTACAGATGTTCTGCTGAGGTGTTTCAGGTAAAACATCTTGTTTGTGCCATAATTCCTTAAAGATTTACTGCATAAAGGGTGGAAAGCTCAGCCAGTGTGAAAGGAAAACACCACCAAACTTCAGCCTCAGTTTCCATGGATTAAGAGCTGCTTCAGCAGACATGGTGCAGATGAAATTTCCTGTTTTCTCTCCAGACAGGACTTCCTCACCTGGATGTTGACAAAGACTCCATGGTATGTCTCATACAGAACCTTGTTGCCCTTCATTTGCAGCGGGAATTCAAAGGGAATTTCTGTCTTGCCACTGGGGAGCTTCCCTGGTTTCACCATCTCAATGGTGCTGTTGATAATCTGGATAGGCTGCAAGGAGAAATATCACAGAGGTTTGGTTGAGAATTCCAGCAGAATTCCTGGATTTCCACAATCCCAGGGACCTCTTCAGGACACAAAGTGCTGGGATATTTTTGTACAATGGATAGAAACATTAATATTTTGCTCAAGAAAACAATTTCTGTTTTAAGGGTGCATCACATTAATGACCAAAGAATTCAAGGGAGCTCACCAGGAGCAGCTCCAGCTTTGGAAGTGGAGCTTCATTTCCTAAATGATGACCCTGGAAAGCAGCAGGGCTGTCCAAGCCATCTGACACTGAGCCACCCCCCCTGGCCTCTGAATTTGTTGTTCTTTGGGGAAGGTCTCTCACCACAGAGAGAGTTAACTGTGAGGGGCTACCTTGGACAGGACATTTCTTTTCTCTCTGCAGTTTTGCCACTCTTGTCCCCAGCTCTTCCCCAATACAAGAAGGAGGTGGAGCTGTTGGTGAGCCCAGAGGAGGCCCCTAAACTGATCCCAGGGCTGGAGCCAGGCTGGGAGAGCTGGGGGTGCTCACCTGGAGAAGGGAAAACTCCAGAACTGCAGGCAGAGCTCAGAGCCCCTGGCAGGGCCTGAAGGGGCTCCAGGAGAGCTCAGAGGGACTGGGGACAAGGATGGAGGGACAGGAGCCAGGGAATGGCTTCAGAGTAGGATTAGATGGGATCTTGGCAATGAGGAATTGTTCCCTGGCAGGGTGAGCAGGGGCTGGCATGGAATTCCAGCCCTGGATCCCTGGCAGTGCCCAAGGCCAGGTTGGACACTGGGGATGTTGGAGCAGCCTGGGACAGTGGGAGGTGTCCCTGCCATGGCAGGGGTGGCACTGGGTGGGCTTTAAGGTCCCTTCTGCCCCAACCTTTCTGTGATTCCCTGATTCAAGGCCACCCTCACTTAACCAAAGCCTTTGCCCCAGCCCAGCCCTGTCCCTGGGGAGCAGCTCAGAGCCCCTCAGGGGCTCCACAGGTGCCACTCTGCCCAGAGCCATCTGACAAGGCTTGTCCCTCACACCCAGGGACCCCTCCATGGCCCCCACAGACTGTGACTGATCTGGCACAAGAGCCCAGTTCAACCCAGTCACTTCAACAAAAATAAAATAACATCCCACAAGAATTATTTTTCTTTAAATCATAGATTCAGTGCATCATCCAGGAACCCTTACCTATTTATGGCCCTGCATTTCAGCCTGAAATAAAAATCTACCAGTGTGATTTACTTCCCCAGAATGTCCCCATATATCCCTCCCTGGGGTATTCCAGAGTGTTCTGGACACAGCCCTGTGCCCTGTGCTCTGGGATGGTGGCACCAGTGACCCTCAGTGCTCCCTTCCAGCCTGACCCACCCTGGCATTCTGTGATCTCCACATAAACTGAGCCTTTCCCTGCTTTCCATCACTCCCACAGCACGAGCAGCTCTGACACCTGAAGGACTTGAAGGAAAGGTTCCATTTGAGAAAAGAGGTTTTTGTGCTGAAAACATTCACCTGGGCAGGCCTTACCTTGGCAGTGTTGCAGAAGGCCTCAAACACCCCCACATTTTTGGCACTGAGCTGCAGATTCACTGAGCCCTCCATGGTTAAGGAGATTCCCTGGTGCTGCACCGTGTCCTTGCTGGTTATGACCACCACTCCAGAGAGAATTTCCTAAGAGGAAGGAGGAAAACATTTGTTTAAATCCATTTTTCATAGCTGTTATCTAAACAGCCTGGAACTGATCTCCAAACTCCAAAAAAATCCTGTGCCCAAAGAATGGTGTCACTTTGTCAGGACAGACAAACAGAAAAAATTCCTTCCTTCCTGATGAAGGGATTTAGGATGAGACAGAGAAACAACAACATTTCAACTCTACCAGAATTCCTGGATCTGCAGAATCCCAGGGCTCAGGATCAGAATCCAAAGCTCAGGATGAGAGCTCTGCACTTTTGATTTTTCCTTAAAAACACCATTCTCCTCTTGGCTGAAGTATTAACCTGAGCTTCAACTTCTTCCCACAGTTTCAAGGTTTTCCTGTCCAGGAAGATGAAAAACCTTTCTTTTGGGTCAGCTGGAACAGCCAGGTTGTGTTGGTGTGGGAAGAACCTGCCAGGAGGAATTGCTGCATGAAAACTGGGATGGTCAGCACAGGAGAGGGGAAGAAAAGGCACAGATGGAAGAGGGATGGCCAAGCTGAGGGTGAGATTCACCTCCAGAGGGGAGCAGAAGAGATTTAAAATCTAAAAACTGAACACAAAGAAACAGCTTTGAGGTGAATCTGAATGAAAGGCAGGAGCTGTGTGACTCCAGGGAGGTGTCACTCAGCCCATGGAGGATGTGCTGGCCACAAAAAACCCTTTGCACAAAAATGCTTCATCCTCAAAGTGCCAGCTCAGGCTTTCTAACACTGAAAAGCTGGTGAACTGCAGGAGAGCAGCACACAGCTCCCTCCACACACTCCATGCTTTATCCTTCCCTTCTCCCACACTGCAGAACCTCCTTCAGTCCTGAAATATTCCCAGCTGGAAAGGACTGAGACCTGGAGAATTCCCTGAGCTCCTGCCCCAGACCAGCTGGCCCCAAGGAACAGCTCCCCCCAGCCATGGGACAACCCCAACTCTCACTCTGCACCCCACCTCTCCAGGCCAGGATCTCTCCAGCAGAATGGGAATTTGGGCACATTTTTGTCTTTCCTGGTGGTGCGGGAGGGCAAAAATGGGTCAGGGGAGTTGAGGTAGCAGGAAAACATCCGCATCCAAGCAAGGGTGGCATCCTGAGAGCCTGGGAAGAGGAAGTGCAGCAAGTGGGAAATGCTGGAACGGGAGCACAAAGGGACAGCAAAGAAAAGCTGACCTCAATTCTGCACTGCTCTGCTAATTAGCACAAGCAATTAGGTTATTGCTTTAAAAATGAGTCCAGCTCAGCTCTGAGAAGCAAGGACAACCCTGAAGACGTGAACTGCTTTAACCAAGGAGATGTTTCCTGTCACACAGCACAAACCCCTTCAGAGCTGCTGCCTGCACGTGGGAAGGGGGCACGGCCTGGGGGCAGGAAGGGGAAGGGTGACTGGAACTTCAATATCAAATTTTCTTTCAATATTTCTTCAGAAATGCAAAAAACAGCTCAAAATTCTGATTTCCTGCACCTGCAGAGCTCCAGGGGAGGAGCTGGAGCTGCTGCAGAGAGCCCAGAGGAGGCTCCAGGATGAGCAGAGGGATGGAGCAGCTCTGCTGGGAGGAAAGGCTGGCACAGCTGGGATTGTTCACCTGCACAGGAGAAGCTTTGGGCTGAGCTCAGGGTGGCCTTGCAGGGCCTGCAGGAGCCCCAGGAAAGCTGGAGAGAGACAATTTCCAGGGCATGCAGGGACAGCACCCAGGGAATGGCTGCCAGTGCCAGAGGGCAGGGCTGGGTGGGATCTTGGCAATGAGGAATTGTTCCCTGGCAGGGTGGGCAGGGCTGGCATGGAATTCCATCCCTGGATCCCTGGCAGTGCCCAAGGCCAGGCTGGACACTGGGGCTGGAGCAGCCTGGGACAGTGGGGGGTGTCCCTGCCATGGATGATTTTAGGGTCCCTTCCATGCATAATTAAGTTTGCATCTCCTTTTTCTCCCTAGGAGATTCCTACTAAAAATCCATGTTGTATCCCTGGTGCAGAGGTCTCCCATCGTTGTGTTTTCATTCCAGGCCCAGTTAATGAACTAAAATTACAAACCTTTCCATGTGGAGTTAAAGTGGAAGGCAAAAACAAAACTGACAGATTGACTGACCAGAAATATCCTAATTTCAGCTTAAAACAGAGGGCATATTCCTTTCTATAAAAAAAAAAAAATCCATTTAAAAATTATATAAAGCAAGTCAAGATCAGTCAATTTAAAAATGGACCCAGCACTGAGAAACCAAAATAGATAAGTAAACAAAATGCTAATAATTTATAATTTTATAATGCACAAAGTGATGTGAAAGTGAGACACAGACAGTATTTAGCCCTCTGGAGCCATTCCTAAAGGGAATAATTCAGCTCTGCCAAAGCCATTCTCTAGATAATCTGACAATTGCAGGGCAGATGCTGCACACCCTTCCTTCCTTTCAAATCCAGTTTTCCAGGATTAAAATCATGCAATAAATGGAATTCCGGTGGATGGAAAGGATTTTTAGGGTACAAGTGCAAGAAAAAGAGAGGCCTGAACATTGCTGCTGAGCAACTCGGGATTTCTAGGTAAAAAACGATAAAAATTAAAAATATTCCTTCCCTTTCAAGACACATCGGGCTCTGCAGAGCTGGTCAGGATCTTCCCGCGGTACCCAGGAAATGGAGAAGGACAAAAAGCAGCGCTCAATCCCAAAGGCAATGCCCGAATCCCGGAGAGAGCACCGGGAAACCCCCGGGATCGGGACAGCTCCGGCAGGGACGGGGGAAGAGCGGGGAGCGGGGGAAAGGGACACACGGACAGGGACACACGGACAGGGAAAGCTCCGGGACACACGGACAGGGACACGGGGAAAACTCGGGGACACACGGACAGGAAAAGCTCCGGGACACACGGCCAGGGAAAGCTTCGGGACACACGGACACCGGGAATGCTCCGGGACACACGGACAGAGACACACGGCCAGGGAAAGCTCGGGGACCCACAGCCAGGGACACACGGACAGACGCCGACACCGCGGCAGCACCGACAGGAGAGGGCGATCGGCTCCGCCCGCCGAGGAGTCCCCGCTGCCAGGGCCGAGCCCGGAGCCCAGCGGGGACCCCGAGCTGTCCCCCACAGGCTCAGGGAAGCCCAGAACAGCTGGGCTGGGAAGGGACCATGGGAGATGATCTGGGAGCTCCCCAAGGCAGGGGCACCTGGAGCAGGTGACAGGAACGCGTCCAGGGGAGTCTGGAATGTCCCCAGGAAGGAGATCTCAGAGCTGTGCCAGGGCTCTGCCTCCTTTTGTCCGTGCAGAGACAGAAGTTGTGCCTCCTGTGCAGGGGAATTGCTGGGCTCAGGCCCTGCCCGTGCCTCTGGGGCCATTGCTGGGCCTGAAGCAGAGCCTGGGCCTGCTCTGACCTCTGCACACAGGGACAGACACAGGGACAGACAGGGACAGAAACAGGGACAGACACAGGGACAGACACAGGGACGGACACAGGGACGGACACAGGGACGGACACAGGGACGGACACAGGGACAGCCAGGGACAGACACAGGGTCAGACACAGGGTCAGACACAGGGACAGACCCAGGGCCAGACCCAGGGCCAGACCCAGGGCCAGGCAGGGCTGAGGCCCCTCTCTCTCCCTGGGGCTCCTCTCCAGGCTGAGCAGCCCCAGCTCCCTCAGCCTTTCCTGGGCACGGAGCTGCTCCAGGCCCTTGCTCAGCTCCAGGAGCTCCTGGCCCTGCTGTGCTGAGGAGCCAGAGCTGGACACAGCAGCCAGAGGTGCCCCCAGGGCTGGGCACAGGGGCAGCATCAGCCCTGACCTGCTGGCAATGCCCATCCCGATGCCCCCCAGGACAGCCCTGCCCTGCCCTGCCCTGCCCTCCCTGGCCGCTGTCCCCCGCTGTCCCCGGTGGCTCTGTCGCGACACACGCACCCCATCCCGATAGACTTTCCCGGCGCGTTTCACCCTCACATCCAGCGCCGTCCCCATCGCTCCGTCATGTGACCGCCGCTTCACGTGACCCGCGGGCGGGGGTGCGCGGGAGCCCCGCCCTCCTCCACATCCGGGTCCTCGGCGCCGTCACTTCCCAGCCGCTGACGCCGCTTCCCGCGCGGCCCCGCCCACTGCCCCCGGTTGTCACAGCAACGCGCGGGCGGGGTGAGTGACGCAACGCCGTCACCCGCGGGGAACTACGGATCCCGGCGTGCTCTGCGCGCCGACAGCGCCCGCTGCGGCCCAGGGCGCCGCGTGGGCTGATGGGAGTTGTAGGCGCGGCCGCCGCCGCCGCCGCCTCACGCGGCTCGCGAATGTCGCCTGTCGCGACTCTGGGGCGGTGACAATGGGAGCCCGGGAACGGCTTCGCTGTCCTGAAATGTTTCCCTCTGAGTGTATTGCACAGCCGCAAGCACCCATATAAACGAGGAGCGAACTTGTCTCCGTTCTAATTCCACCAGGATTCATCGCTTTGAGTTCCCAAACCGGCCCGGCCGCGGTGCCCAGAGCTCCCCCAGCCTGCCCGATAAATTCAGGAAGGCAAAGCTTTGCAAAGCACGCGGCGAGGAATTCCCCCTTGAAAACCCGGAGCAGGGAAATGCTCGGTGTGGGAATGCCCGAGGGCTGAGGGAAATACTGCCTTCTCCTCCAGGTGTGGCCTCAGCCGGAATTCCCGTGATTTCAGCGGAACCGGGACTCGTCCATCGGTGGAACTGCAAGTCGTGAAGGAAATCTCCACAGCAGGAGTCGAGTTCTGAATGTTATTGATTTCCTGAGGCATTATTTTCACTTCATTCTTCACACATTCTTCACTAAATTAGATTTTATTCAGATTTACATGGTTAAAATAAACAGAACCTTGTCAGTGGTGGGAGTTCCTGGAGGATGGTTCTGTCCTCTTCCTCCTCAGCCCTCAGTACCCAAACCAATCCCTGTCCTTTCCTCTGCTGTGCTTATGGAAAACTTGGCAAAACCCACTGCAAGTTCTTGTTTTGGGGGAAAACCTGAGATCTCAAATTGTCCCACATTTCAGGGAAGAGAGGGAAAGGAAAGTGGTCACTGTAAAAAGAAAGGAGCATTTAACCGGGATCACTGAATATTAATGGCAGGACTCAGGTACCTCAGATAAGTAGCTGAGATAGGTAATTACTGTCATTAATTAGTGTGGGGCAGATAAAGAGGTTTTTGTTTTTTTTGTTTTACGTTTTACCCCATTCAAGGAACAGAGGAAAATAAAAGCCTGGACAGCACAGCTGCTTCTGAGTGTGAAGATTTGTTTTGCCATCACTTTCACAATCAGCTGTTTTTCTTGGGAAACTTTTTCCAAGACACTTGAGTTACTCATTTCTAGGAACTGGAGCCTCGTGTCCAGGAAAAGCTCCTGTTGGAGCAGGCAGGAGCTGCCCCTGTGCCTGGCAACAGAGATCCCACAAACAAACCAGGGAGCACACAGGGAACCTGTGTCCCAACCCAGGGACACAGAGAGCTCAGCACCCCCTGGGTGCCTCTTCTGCAGAAACAATCCCAGAGTGGTTTGGGTGGGAAGGGACTTAAAGTTCACCCAGTGCCACCCCTGCCATGGCAGGGACACCTCCCACTGTCCCAGGCTGCTCCAGCCCCAGTGTCCAACCTGGCCTTGGGCACTGCCAGGGATGGAATTCCATGCCAGCCCCTGCCCACCCTGCCAGGGAACAATTCCTCATTGCCAAGATCCCATCCAGCCCTGCCCTCTGGCAATTTAAAACCATTCCCCCTTGTCCTGCATATAAAAAGTCCCTCTTCCTCCTTTTTAAAACCTCCTTCAGGCCCTGCAAGGCCACCCTGAGCTCAGCCCAAAGCTTCTCCTGTGCAGGTGAACAATCCCAGCTGTGCCAGCCTTTCCTCCCAGCAGAGCTGCTCCATCCCTCTGCCCATCCTGGAGCCTCCTCTGGGCTCTCTGCAGCAGCTCCAGCTCCTCCCTGGGCTGGGCCCAGGCCTGGGGCAGCTCTGCAGGTTCAGGAAATAAAATTATTAAAAAAAAAAAAAACAAACCAAAAAACAAAACCCACAAAACCAAAAAACAAACAAAAACCACAAAAGAAACCCTCCAAAAATAAAAACCCAACCAACAACAACTAAAACCCCCCCAAAAAAATTAAAAACACACCAAAGAAACCCTCCAAAAAGAAAAACCCAACCAAAAACAACAACTAAAAACCCAAATAAGCAAAACAACAAAACCCCCCCAACCAACCAACCAACCAAACAAAACACAAAGAAACAAACAAAAACAAAAAAAAACCCCAAAACTAAAAAACATATACACAAAAAAAACCCTAAACCCAGAAAGCAGGAAGAATAAAACAAGTCCTTCAAGGAGAGAAGCATCCCCATGTGGGACAGGTGATCACTGTCAGCCCAGATGCAGTGACAGGTAAGGAGTTCCCTTCCCACCTCCAGGCTGGGGGCACCAATGTTCCCCTGAGAAGTCCCTTCCCTCTTTAGTTTTGATTTTCTGCCATTCCCAAACCAAGC